CAGCATAAAATGCTGCCATACTTGAGGCAAACTTGCTCAGACTTGGGTTTGAAGTTTCATCTGGATGGTATTAAGTGGGCTTCGGCTTGCTCAGGAATTGTTCGCTATTCGGCTGACTCGCCAGCTTTTTCATTACCGAAAACGTTCTTTTGACCGGAAAGGAGGTTATAATGATGTCGAGTTGACCTTTCACTGAGAGAAAATACAATATTTGAAGACGCTGAAAATTACCATTGGCTAAAATAAGACCAGTAATGCCGACTGCCTGCCCCATTATATGAATGTTTTCTGTATCCTCAAAGAGTTATTCATTATGGCTTCTCATAAACAAAAAAATGAATAACGGTACCAAAAAATAAATGATTTACGGTACCAAAAAATATATGATTTACGATTTTAAATAATTCGCTTTAGTACCGAGACACTTTTTTAGAGCTCTTCAGTTGCTTAAGTAGATTTCTAAATATGTATGTATGTATTAATTTACATATGTCTGTCTACAATTGCTTTATTTGTATGCGTATGACACAGAATAATGCGTTTGATATTAATATTTCAGTTCTACACATTTCACTACACAACACTACTCCCCACCTTTCACCGTTATACGCATATACATATGTACATATGTATTTCATTCGATTTAAATTGATTTAATTTATTCTTACACTAAACGTGCGATGAGCGTTAAGTAAAAAAGATCACTTGAGGTCGAGATTGACTGCGAAGCATGGCTCTTTCATAAGTATATACGTATATATATGTATGTATGTACGTGTATATATGAATTTTTTTAGTATTTTAATTGCTTCATTGCAGCTACTGTTTACATATTAACATATATTTAATACTTTTTATTTATTTATTTTATTTTCATTGTTTTTTTTTTTTTTGTAGTTGTTTTTCACTTATATCTTTATTTTTTTATTTCATTATTTTTTTTTGTCTTTCATTTCACAATTTCATTACCACACTTGAGCATTGACTTTTAAGCGAACTTAGTCACTGACCGTCATCCACAGCAGATTACTTAAGCAGCACCAAAACAACTTACGCTCACTAGCGAGCCACCGAGCCACCGAGCCAGCGAGCCGACGAAACACCTGGCTTAGAGAGCTTAATGGCATATTTAGTCAAACGACTTGTATGAACAATTGCTGTTATGTATGTACATGTGTATGTGTGTATGTATATTTGAATACAAGTGCATTGCAAGTAAGTGGTTACTTTGCCTATTTGGAGACAACACGTTGAGTTGCCATAGAGATTGGTGTGTCGGCATACAACGAAAAATTGCCAACAACAACCCATTAATTGAGACCAACAAAAATGAAATGAAAAAAAAAACCAACAGAAAATGGAAAAAAGTGAGGTTAGGAGAAGGTGTTGGTGTGTAATAAAAGTATCTAACATGTTTACTATTGTCATGAACATATATACATACATACATACACATGTGCATACATAGATGTTGTACAAATATACAAATTATGAGTAAATAGCATGCTATTTACAACACTAGTACATACATATACATACATATGTATGTATAATATAAATTTAAATTTAAATTCCTTATTTTTTTGTATAATTACATACAAACATACACATGTATGTATGTATATACATATATACATACATGTGTTCTAATTTGCGCTTGCTTCTAAAAATATACGGCAAATCAAATCGACAAAAATGCAATGCTCAATATAAACATCATACACACAAATACATATGTATATGTACATATCAACTGCCTGAGTTGAAACTACATACATACATGTATGTATAACAATAATAAACGTGACAATAATAGCAATAAATAACACCGTAATATGCATTTTTAATTTGCAAATTTACACTCTTGAACCCAATTAAATACTGTTAAATGTTAAACTTGGGGAATTCAAATTGCAACAAAAAAAAACAACAAAAGCAATAGTAACAATAAAAATAGCAACAAATGAATTGTGATGACTATTACTGACAATTTCGCTGTTCATCAATGGCGATTTCGCTTTATTAAATTAAATGCTTTAGCGAGCATTTGCTGTCACACATACAGATGCGCATACATCATCATTTTATCATACATTATTCATTACTAGCTTTAGTTAGAAAGTCAATTAGTTCAGCAATCTAAAATTATCGTGTTTGTGCAGGGAATTTTCATAGTTCAATTTTTTTACTAAATTTTCTAGCAAAAATAACTGCATTTTTTGGACAGGGTTGATTTTCACTATATAAAATATATGTATATGTGGTATTAATTATTATAAATACAAAAGAAAAATGCATTAAAAAAAATTAGCTGCCATAAAATTAAATTAAATTTTATAAAAAAATTATTTTTGATATAAAATAATTACAAATAGAAAAAATAATGATATAATTAAAATAAATGAAATAAATTTAAAATAAAATGAATTAAAATATATTGAAGCAAAATAAATTAGAAATTAAAATAAAATAAAATAAAATAAAATTAATTAAAGCAACTCAAACTTGAATTGATTAATAAAGTAAATAAAAATTAAATTTATTTATGTTAGTTTATTTAAAAACAAATTAAAAATAAATAAATTAAATATACAAAAAAAAATAAATCGAACACAAACATCGTTTCAGCGGTTACAAAGCGCCAATTATATTAAATAAAAAACTTAATTATAAAAAAAGAAATAAAAACTAACAAGTAAATAAAAAATATAATATAATATAGCTAAATTAAATAAATTGAAAGTAAATTGAAATAAAATAAGCTAAATAAAGTGAAATAAAGAAAAGAAAAAGGAAATACTTATAAAAAATAAAATAACACATATCCATAAAAATTAATAAAATAAAAAAAGTTAAATTGATTTGAATTAAATGAATATAAAATTTTATTTTATATAAATTTTTTAATACATAAATATTAAATGACGTAAAAAATAAATTAAATAAAAAACCAATTTAAGTTCATTAAATTTAATTGAATTAAGTCAAATCAAAATAAAATAAAAAATAAAACAAAATAATAAATAAAATAATCCAAAATAAAATAATAAAAAATAGAATATAATGAAACAAATTGAAATTTAATTAAATTAAATTGAATACAAATAAAATTTTTTTTTTAATTTTTTTGTTTAAATTAATTAATGAAATAAAAAACTGCATACAAATATATAAAACAAAATAATAAAAGTAAAATATAAGACCGAATTAAAATTAAATATCTATATTTAAAAAAAAATACATAAAATTAAATAAATATTAATTATTATAAATAAAAAATTCCTTGAAAGCACAATAAATATTCAAAAACGATATATATTAAACAAAATAAAATAGCATAATCTAAAAAGAATACTAAAAATAAAATGTAATTAATTTAAATTAAAAGTAAATTAAAAGTAAAATTAAAATTAAAAAATTACAATTACAATTAAAATTAAAATTAAAATTAAAATTAAAATTAAAATTAAAATTAAAATTAAAATTAAAATTAAAATTAAAATTAAAATTAAAATTAAAATTAAAATTAAATTTAAATTTAAATTAAAATCAAATACAACTAAAAAATAAATATAAACAAAGGAGTTCGACTTTAAAATGAAACATTAATTTTTTTTTAAAAAGACTACTAACAAATGTGGGTTCCAGAAGCGACTCAGATCTTCATTTTTGCTTGGCTTCGTTGTTTGTGAACGGGAATTTCCCGTTGAGCATTTCGTCCCATACCTTTTCATCCGGCCCAAGAAATATTTGCTACCTTCTCCAGTGAAAGTTATTTAATTGTCTCCCTGTATTTTGTGTTGACTCATTTAATCACCTTAATTACCCTCGGGCTATCAACAAGAAACCTAATAGATTTCCCAATTCAAACGGTTGTGGGTTTAGCAACTTCAAAAAAGCTCACAACCTCTGCAGAGTTGTCGTTATTCAGCTTGAAGCAAACTTTTATCGTTTGGGGAGGTCACAGAAGAATCTCGCTCCTGTGCCAGCTTCGCATTTAGGCCCATCAATATCGGTATAAATATATTCACCATTACCGTTAGCCATACATTCCATCCAACCTTGCCTGTACGGGAGGGTGTAGGTTGCATCCATCCGTTCCTCTGTCGCGGAGTTTCAAGGAAACCAATAACTATGAGTCTCTCGAGAGTTCTTAGTTTTAAAATGAGCAAAGATAATTACCACTGATTCCATATTTAAAGACATGTTAGCTGCAAAGGTTAGAAACTCGAGTATCTTCTGCATGTGTATGTATGTATGTATGTGGCTTAGCTTGGTACGGCCCTTAGCGAATTCGCAATCAAGTTCCAGTTAATTTTTTTCGTTTGGTTTTCGTAAAAAAAAAGTATTTTAAATGTTCTCAGTACTCAGTAAAGCGTATATGTATATAAGTATAAGTATGTATGAAAGTAAATATGTACATAGTATGTACATAAATCAAAGAAAGTGGGCTGCACAAATATTTTATGCATGCACACACACACATGCATGTATCTTTCAACGATAAAATGTAGATTTGTATATTTGCATATCTCTATATATGTATGTATGTATGTTTGCATTGTGTAAATTGCAAGCATCGTCGCTATCACGCTGCCACTTAATAAATGCATATGTTCATATCAACATTTATACATACCTACATACATATATACATACATACATACATACATACATACATACATACATACGTTATACTATACTTATCTGTATTTGCATTATTAGCCGCATTCGATGCTCCGCTTGCACTGAAGATGTACTCATAGAAAATCAACACCACTACACAGAAAAAAAGCACTGGGTCTCACATACATACAGACACATACACACATACACACGCAAATTCTCCGACACACACAAGCACACATCTATTCTCAGATACTTAACTACATATTTACATAGATATTCATTTATCTAGATATGTATTGTTGTATATATGTATATATGTATATATTAAATGTACATATGTATGTAAGTAGATTTCATTAAGCAACCATTACCAAGAACATCTGAATGCCGAATATCGAATTGTTTTGTCTTTCGCACTATTCTGCTCACTTTTCAATCCCACACCGTTAGCGCTCCGCAACTTTTTTCTTTAATTCGTATATGTATATGTGTTTGTATGTACATAAAATAATTTTGAAGAAACAAAAAAATTAATAATTAAAACAAATTCTGTTCACTTTTTGTAAATTTCAAAAATTTCTTTGTACATCTGTATGTATGTATGTACATAGCATTTACCACATGTGTATATACTCGTATATAATATATCTATGTACTTTTCTTTATAGTATCTCTGCTCTGTATACTTCTACACATACACTGGACCGTCCGACGGATCGTCCGACTGATCTTTCGCGCGCTAATTTGACGAGTCGGTGGTGCGCCGTTGACGAGTGAAGATTCCAAACTAAACTCAAACCAAATGGACGTTAAAACAAATAGTCGCCCAGTCAGTGTCTACGTGTGGAGATAAATAGAGGCAAACAAACCCAACAAGAGTCCAAGCGGAAACACGCTCAGCTCGCTCTCTGCTATAAATTGGATTCCTATGGCGCTCTTCAGTTTGGTGTGTGTGTGTATTCTCTTAGCTGGTATAAAATAGCATGCGCGTGTGATCAGTAGATCTCTATAAATATTTATACCCTACACGGCGCGATGATGATAACTGGGATGTGTGTGAATTGTTTTACGTGCAAGAACAAGTTCCAGGATATGAGTTGAGTTTCCATGTTTTGTGGAACCATAGAAATGGATTACTTGATGAGTCCTTTCATCATCGCATACTGAGAGTTGTTTAGTCTTGTGATGTGAAGCATTTCATTCAGGATATGCCCTTTGCAGGTCATTTGTTTCTTTGTTTCACTGTTGAATATGGATTTGGTCAAATTTTAAGTGAAGGTTTTTGACTTGATGTCATTATCTCTACTTCAGATTCTACAAAAGATACTCCAGACTAGCCGAAAGGATCTGCTTAGGAGCTTGGGGCGTTCTTGCATTTGTGGACGGACCTTACTGGCGATAAAGCCAGCAATACCGCCTGGCTATCCGAGAATATAACTACCTTCTATAACCCTTCTTGGAAGAAGTTATCTGAATGGTTGCAGAAAGAGGGAAAGTTTAAGATCTTCAGAGTATATCCACGCTCCCACTATGAAATCTTTCCTACTATAAAACCTTTCCTACTATAAAAGCTCTCTGCGGGAGGCTTAGCTAACAATAATTTCTATGAGGAATTCAGTATCGGCTTTACTTAACATCAATTCTAGACTCCAATTTGTAATTTAAAATATACTTGAATAAGTTGTTGCCTACTTTTAGGCGAAGTAGAGATTATTTTACTTAGATGTTGAAATCATGTTTACCAAAATAAAAATTGCCTACTTGTAGGCGTACAACCGAAATATGTGAAATTTTCAAATTTTGAATTAAAACCCACCATGTATCTTAAACGACTATTTAAATATTATTTTTATTAATTCATAACCATTTTTATTATTTGCACATAAAATACATTTGTAAGTATGTATGTATATAATACACTAGAGAAAAAAAAACACATTATTCGATAAATTACATTCAAATTTCATGATTATTCGTATCAAATGACTTTTTTAAAGTCGAAAAACATAACAGATAAGCTACATAATTTGATTTTATTGCAAGGTAGTTTGGTATATCATTTAAACAGAGTTTAGTTTATCGTTCAATGATAAGTAAAAAGCTAGTTTTGAACATTATCCTTATATGTATGTATGTATATATAAGTGTGTAGGTAAAATCATTACATATACTAGTAGTCATACAAACGCTACCATTCTAAACTATAAGATAACATTTATATACATATATATTGTATAAATAATCGTATTTCAATGTACGTATGTGCGTACTAAACAAATTTCATTAGCAATTGTAATAAATTATTATATAACACATTCAAAAAGAGTTTATTAGTTTGTCGTTCAATGATAAATAAAAAATCTAATTTTGAACATTCTCCTTATATTTAAGTATGTGTGTATATATTTGTATAAGTATGCTTAGTTATACTATTATTCGTACGTGCTTTACCATTCCAAACTATAACATAACATTTATATATATATATATATTGTATATTTAGTGTGTGTATATATATGTATGTGTGTGTGTGTACTAAAGCATTTTAATAGCAGCTACCATATAATAAATTAATATAACACATTTTTCGAGAGGAAATAAATAGTTGTTTGTTTGTTTGTTTGTTTCTTCAGCCACTTTATGAAAGATAAGTGCGTACAAAACCCTTAATATCGGCGCGACACATTGGACACTGGCCCACGCCTGGTGCACATTGCACGCATGTAACTGCAAATATTGAATAGAGTAAGAAATTACCCGCAAAAGCTTTAAGCAATGACATACTCACCTAAATGACCACACGGCAAAAACACCACACCAACTTCTTCGTCCAGGCAAACCTTACAGAGGCGAGCATCTTTGAGTTTACGATTCTCCTCCTCCAACGACAAAGCTCTATTCAATGTTTGCTCATTTGGCTGTTTGGTGTTCACTTCTTCGCATTTAACTTCTTCCGCGGGCGTTTTTAAATTATCGCCTGCACTTTTCGCTTGCAACGCGTTCGTTAAAGCGTTTGAACAGCTTGGTCCATTCAACACATTCACATGCATTTGATTTTGCACATTATTCTGACTCATTGCTATCGTATTGTTGTATGTGTTGCTTGGGGTTCCGACATAATTCCCACCACTGACACCAGCTTCGTCGAGCATATTTATCAGCCGTGAAACATCACCAGCCAAAGAAGCACTAACAGCTTCTGTGCATTGACCACTTGCGATTGGTTCGGCGTCTTCTGTATCACCAAAAACAGCCTTTATTAAATCCTCAACAGTATCGTAGGGACGACCCATCGCCAATAGTTGCCTTTGGGTGGCATTACGTATTGAGCCACCATCAATACCGATTTCGAGTGCTTGCAGCACTGGTGCAGTCATCATTGCTTCCTCAATTGTCATTTCACTATGTAATTGATGTCCCGTTTGTCTTGTCAGCTCCTGTACATGTTGTATATAATTAGCACCCTTAACTAAACGGACGAATTGGCACTGTGGAAACCTACAGCGAAAAAAGAAAATCAGTTACTGTATCAATGAAGAGGCAACAAACATTACCACATGCTCGACATCAACTTACCACTTGGCATGCTCAAACCATGGATCGTCCTCTCTTTGCCATGAACGCAAGCCGATATTACAATGAAAACAACGCACTTGATCATCTACATTTTGATAATAAAGACCAGCTTGTGCCAGCGCTTCAGGTTGTTGTATATCGGGTATGGGCCAATGCGTGTATGTCCTGAGTCGTGAATCTAGTGAGGAAAATTTTGGTTTTTTCGGTGGTGAAACCTGTTGTATGCCCAAATCCCGCATGCCATCACTGGCCATTTCTAAATTTGGACCCAATTTAACACGCAAACAATCAGGAAAGAAACGTTTATGCTCTTCAAATGCGTCGTCTTGTTCTTCCCACTTGGCAATGATGCCCTTGCACCAGGCACATTTCACTTGATCCGAACGATTTAAATAGTAGAAACCTGCTTTGGCCAATGATTCCGGCGAAATATTTGGATTCTAATTTAGGACAAGGTAAAAATAGAAATACATGTAAATGGAGTAGCAGGAGCAGACACAATTCATAAAAAAGCACTGCGCACCACATTTGATAAACAACATACAAATTTTTGTGTATATACATATTTACACTAATGAGTAAATTAAATATAGTACACAATTGTTTCGAAATCAACAAGAATTTTTACAAACTAAATATATCCATTACACAGCACTTTGTTACAACTTACAGGCCAGTTTTTGAAGGTAGCTAAACGATTCGATTCCAAAAGATAATCACTTTCATCGACTACTTCGTCCATTTTTAAGCCAAAAAGTAAATATTTTACTTTTCTAAACCAAAAATCAACTTTTAGGAGTAGTGTTGTGAAATTCCACAGCTTAAATGTATTACTCACAGCTGTGCTAAGCAGGTACCGAGTACCTACGCATGATATACCGGGTTGCCTTAATGTTTGCAATCACTTTAACTATAGAAATTATGTTTTTTATTTTTTCCATATCGATTTTTGATTTATTTTTAGTTAAATGTAGAGTTCAAATACTTAAATAGGTAATATATAAACAAATTAATTTGACTTTGTAGTAGTACAAAAATGGTAGACAAGTAATCGCTTAAACAGGTAACCCCCATTTCTGTTTCACTACTGTTACCACTCCGAAACAGTGTTGCTGTACCTTTCTCATTATCCGGCAAATATGAAAGTGAGTTAAATTTATACACAGTAAAACAAATATATATATTTATTATAAAATAAGATTAAAATAAACCCAATGAATTAAAAGAATGATTTAAAAATGATACAATGATACAACAAATTCAGCGTAAATTATTAAATTAGCTTCTGGCAACTCTTCTTGTACCCGCCGGAAGTCCGTTATTTAACCGAGAGAATAAAAACATTGAATTTCTATTTTATATTTATTAAATTTGAGAAGTAATTTGTAATACGAGAAAAAATAGAATTATTTATCATATGGTTGTGTCAACATAGTAGACATTGCTGTGAACGTGACAACGACTTGCCATTTGAAGATGGGAATCAGTGATCTACTACCACAAATCAATGCAATCGCCGTGAAGAACTTTTCCAGAAGATGGTGGCTTATCAGAAAAATCATTTGGGATATGGTTTTTGTTCTTCAGTATATTCGAAGAAATGTTAATAAGGTCAATATATGCTGGAATTGGCCCTTGGACACTTTCCTAAAGCAGATCCTCAAAATAGATCCTAAAAGTGTGCACAACTACCCGCACGTTAATACTGGATGCTTAAAATAAACTGTGCAACAGCTTCCAACAAACCTCTTCTGTGAATAACATATGTATATACCATATATAAACCAAGGTCATAACTTGTCTCGCATTGGAAAAGACTGAAAGAAAAAATTGACGCGACCAAAAATGTACGACGAGGTGGAAACAAAAACACGTCTACATTTTATAAATCAGCTGTAACGTGCGCCGGATATTCACTTGCGCCTATATTTATTGTCGCCTTTTTCTTTCTTCTATATATGTACACAGGTACATATGTATGGATTTGTGTATGTGCAATAATGGGCAGACAATCATTTCCTTATTCCAGCTTAAATGATTTGTTCACGTCCAACTTACAGATAAGTAACCTTATGTGTTTCGTAGTTGTTGCTGCTATTTTTTAGTTGTTGCAAAAGCAAAAAACTAGCACAGACTGCATATGGCATTTTAAAGCCGGTAAAACCGGGCCATCATTGGGCCATCACTTATTGAAAATTAATTTATTTATTACTATTCTTCTTATTAATATCTCAACTCAACTTCAGTGACGGCAAATCAACTAAATGAAGATGCAGATATTAGTATGTCAATATGTATGTTTGTAAATTTAATATTAACCGCAAAAGCATACACCTATATAGATATGTATGTACATACATACAAACTTTGTTATATGTGTACATATACACGCTCATGTCTCTGTATTTACCATATGCACCTGCAGAGTTGGGTCAATTTCAAAAAAAAAAAAAAAAATTAAAACAAACAGGAATGATGTGGCTCCAATGCTGAAATGTTAAAACCAAATACATATCTGCATACATATATACACGTATGTATGTGCATATACAGTTTGATGCAACCCGATTAAGTTGTGACCTTGAGGAAAGTTTATACATACATATATACATATATAAACTTTAGTTATCTTCATATGCTAATTTAAAAGCTAACGGGCATTGGCATGATTAAAAATAAAAAAGAAATGAAAAATTGCACAATGCCTTTTTTTTATTGATAAAGTGAGTGAGCGTTAAATAAAAAAAAAAAAGTATACGGATTTACATGCAAACACTGCAATACACGCCTGCGCGTTGTTGACAACGTTCGCTTTTTTCTATTTATTTTTGTATTTGTTCAAACATTGCCTTACAAATGCAAATCTACTTAAGCTTAGTTTGAAATTAGGCACAAATATATTTGTATGTATGGAGTAACAACTGAAAGTGTGTGTAATCTCTTAATCTCTAAATAATAGCACTCCCATTTCGAAATATTGGATTGCGTTTGGCTGGATTATTCAAATTTGAGGTTATATAAATATGTTTTCTTTACCACTATTAGTATATTAGACTGTTTCCACTTACAGCCAATAAAAGCTCGCCGTAGAAGCCTTTATTAAAATATTTCTGTAAGGAAATTTCGCAAAAAAAAGCATACACCCTAATACTTCCTTTTTTCTATTTTCATTTCTTTGACATTTTTAAAGGATACAAAGTGGGTTTGGTCATTAGAGTGGATATACCGGCCTTTGGGACTCTTCGGTATCTGATACTCCTACCACTAGTTTAGGCGTAGGATGGATTGACGACTGATGAAAGGATATCTGCTCATTACGACCGTTGTGATGTTAAAATTTTTTGACCAGTAGACTTTGCTATCCAACCCCATCTCATGATTAATTAACTTAATTAGATTAATTACTTCGACGTCAGCTATCTGGATTAGGTAATTGGGAAAAATAATACCGAAAACTTCGAAAATTACAGAGAATAGTACAATTTCATTGAAATCCGGATTCGCTGCCTTCTCATCATCATTTTACAGCTACAGCAAGAACTCTCGTAAGGAATTTCTAGTCTTTCTAGTCGTAGCTTGTTATCAGAACTGCTATTACCTTTCAGATGGCCCCTCATTGAGGGAGTATATTTTGCCAGATCTTTTCCTTCGCCATTTCGGCCATGTGGGACTAAATTTCCGGTAGTTAGTTAGTTAGTAGTTAAATGTTGCTCTGTCACGGAATTCTGTCACGGAATCATGATTAAGTGTACTTGGGCTGAGTGACCGGTCCTTATGCCCATATTGGGCCAGTGAATTCAACTTGGTGTGCTTTATGAAGTTCAAGAGACGAATGATGCCTACAGCTGTAAGTTCGGGAAGGCAAACGAGGATCATATTTCGCTCTGGGAGCTGGGCAGTGTAGGAAGTAACGTTTTACCGTTTACCTCTTTATTTTTGTCTCTGCAGCAGCGGAACCCATCAAACTTTCTACCGTAAGTCCTCTTGCGACAGCGCCCGATTTTTATGTGGGTTTTTATGCTTATCGTGGTCCTGTTTAGATGAAATAAAAACTTCATTTTTTTCTCTTCGGTTAACGACCAGTTTTATCTGGTCACATTGCTAGCGGTTTCACTCTGCCATCTGCTGTTGGCTTTTCTGTGGAAGACTATTCTTAACAGGTTGTCTACAATTTGGTGTTTTCTGGGGCATGTGCCCTGGTCGTCTATGCTCTTTGTACAGCCTAAGTTGAAGCGCACTTGAAACTAATTTGGTTAGTAATCGCTTTGGTAATCACAAGATCAAAGCTTACTAGAAGATTTAGCGGCATTGCAGTCAAGCCAAATTGACTACCTTCCACCTCCGCCATAAAGTCAATGAATGCCTCATTTACACGAAGCTTCAATGTCTGCAACAACAAAAAAACTTACCAAAAATTAGTTCCGTCTTTTTAATACCGTCATTAGAAGAATCTCCATTTTTTATTTTCCAAATATGCCGCCAGCTTCGATGTACGGTAACTAATTTCTGTTCTTAAATAGCCGAACTTTTGAAGCGCTTAGTTCGCTAGCAACGGCAAACTCTGTCTCGTTTCATTCTTACCCATTGGCAATTTAGCACTTATAACGGGTATAACTTGAGCTATTAAATTTTGTGTTGAGTCATTACATAATTTTAGTTTAGCAATGAAAGTTGAAAGACAGAGAAAAGGTGCTAAATGTGTGCAGAAGAGGGCGATAGGGAAGAAGAGCAACGAAGAAGCTAACCAATGCAGAGGATGGTGGTGGTGTCACAGACACTTAACGCTTCTGCCACACTAACTTGATTCACACGCAGCGCTTAGCGTCACAGACACATACTTGCGCACATATACATTCAAAATATAAGAGCTTATGGGCAGTTTGCGATCACGCTGAACCACAATTTGTGGAAAAATAATTGTAACCTGTCTGCTGAAGATCTTACACATCAGACAACTGCCCATATCACACACACACACACACACACACACACACATCAAACTACGAAAGCTTCCAAGCCCATAACCCAAATCAATTTTCTTGAACTCTTCGGCTACTGTAAGCAACGGCGGCAATGCTCATTTGGCATATTTTGGCCCTTGAATAACCGAGATGCGGAGATGGGCATACACAACTATCACTACATACACGCTACATATGTACATGTATACATGTGTATGTATATCTGTTGGGCTCGCTGCATGCACATAGCAAAGAGCTATGCAACATGTCACACACTTGACTATAAAAGCTTAAGTTATCCGCAAACCGGGATTAGTCTTGAAACACACGCGTCTGCAAAACGTACAAAAATTAAAAAAAAAATTTAAAAGTAAAAAGTGGTGAACCGTTAAAACATTAAACGAAATTCAAAATGTTGAAATTTATATTGGTCGCTTGTCTTTTAGTACAAATCGCCGTTGCGGCGCCACTTGTAAGTGTATAAAGTAAATTTAAATTCAGTTGGTTGTGTGTGGTATAATATTTATTAATAAAGTTTACAGCTTGTAAAAAATGTGCGGAAAAATTTTTAAATTAAAATTAGTCCTTTATTTTTTTTTGTGTATGTCCTTGGCTTCAATTTTAAGTTCTGACACATTTTTGACGTTTGGTCGAACGATCCATTTCGCATTTTTCATACGGACTGCATTTAGTGTTGCCACAGTAGGAGCCAGATTTGGAGGAAGCTGGAAACGTAGATAAATAAATAAGTGAAAAAATAAATCAAATAATTTAAAGGCATAAAATAAAATAATTAAAATTAAATAAAATAAATTAAATTAAATTTATTAAGATAAAATAGATTAAAATAAATTGAAATAACACGAAATATAATTAATTAAAATAAAATAAAACGAATGAAATGAAATGAAATAGATTTATATAAATTTAAATTAAATAAAATAAATGAAAATAAAATTAATAAATCTAAAAAATTTAAATCAAATAAAATAAATTAAATTAATTTAAAGTACATTAAATAAAAATAGAATTAAAAAATAATAATTAATTAAAATAAAATAGATTAAAATAAAATAAATTAACACGAAATATAATTAATTAAAATAAAATAAAACGATTAAAATGAAATGAAATAGATTTATATAAATTTAAATTAAATAAAATAAATGAAAATAAAATTAATGAATTTAATAAGTTTAAATCACATAAAATAAATTAAATTAATTTAAAGTACATTAAATAAAAAATAGAATTAAAAAAAAAATAATTAATTAAATTAAAATAGATTAAAATAAAATAAATTAACACGAAATATAATTAAATAAAATAAAATAAAGCAACTAAAATTAAATGAAGTTAATTAAAATTAACTAAAATAAATTTTAATAAAATAAAATAAATTAAATTAATTATAAGAGCAATAACTAAAAATAAAATTAAAAAAATTAAATAATTAAAATAAAATAGATTAAAATAAAATGAATTAACACGAAATAAAATCAATGAAAATAATATAAGTAAATAAAATGAAACGAAATATATTTAAATAAAATAAAATAGATAAAATAAAATTATGTTATATTAAACTCAAAAATATTTAAAAAAATTAAATGCAACAAAAAAAAATAAAATTAAATACAATAAAGTAAAGTAAATTAAATTCAATTAAGTTGAATTAAACTAAAATAAAGTAAAAACTTTAAACAATTAAAAATGAAGCAAAATGAAATAATTTATAATTAAATAGAGTAATATCATATAAAATAATTAATATAAAATTAAGGTTAACTAAATAAGATAGAATTAAATAAGATAAAATAAGATAAAGTTAAATAAAAATTAAATGAAACGTTTTTGAGCAGCGTAAACAGTTTTAATCCAAAAATTTGCTCAACAAGAAATTTAGCTGTTCCTGTTTTCTACATTTTTCTATGAAATTAATATTTCTTATTGGCACTTCGTGTTGTCCTTGGACGAGCACACTTAAAAACCTAGTTTTCCTTTAAAATTAATATATTAAAAAAATACTCACAATATTTATCGCCACCCGATTTATCACCACCACCCAAGTCCAGTTGATTGCGCTGAATGCAAGAACGCTCATTACACAAATTCGGGCAACATTTGCCGCCGATGGCACTACAATCGGAATCTTGTTTACATTTGGGTGTGCAAGTCAACACTCTCGATGCCGAGGGACAACCTGTAGAACACACGCACAAGAAAATAAAAATTAAAATAGAAAAATTATAGAAAAAAAGAAGTTAACTAAACGTCAAATATTTACTTTGTGCATTGCTCATTACCACCAGCGCCAACAACAATAGCAAAATCACTTTGAAGGTAGCACCGCCTGCCAAAAAAAAGAGAAAAATCCCCAAAAACATTGTTATTTACATATTTACACTATTACTTTTTATATGCAAATTTTCGCTCAGTTAACGCCAGCAATTTATTTTTTCGCAATTAAAAAAAAATATGTTGAAATACGTAAACATAACACATAATAATTTACCAAAGGTACCATAATTGTTGTTGTTGGTGTTAAACGCTTGCGATCCGTTGTGGCGAAACATGTTCACTTCTACGCTCTTAAATGAAAACTGCCTTAAAAGCAACGCAAACACGACTTGTTTATATTTTTTCTGCTCTGCAAACAGTTACGAAGTGGATTGTCTTTGAAAGTTTTTGTGGTTATTTATTTGTTTAATGAGAAATTACAAAGCAACATTCATTTATCTACCTGCATTCATACATACATACGTGTATAGAATTTTACATATACAAACTAGTTTACGCTCTTGAAGATGATAGCACCATACTTTTCAGCAATCAGTTTGCCGCGAACGAAATTTTATTAAAACTGTTTTTTTTTGCGAGCTCCTTCGGTTATTATTACAAGACTTCGATGTATTTTCCTTCTATATGTGAGTTTTTATACCCTTCACTCACAATTGAACGGCACCACACAGATTTAACAGCATAAGCTGATTTTTGAATGTGACTTAATGGCTGAGCTTCACCTTTTCGTCGCTCTCTCCTCTCTCTCTCGCTCTATCTCTTCCTTGGAACTAATAAAATATCTGATGTTATGTTCTTGAGTCTTGAAGTTATCACATATCACTCAATTAACTCCATGTTATCTTTACCCTTTTTCATTAATTCATTTTTATGCCTTTACATTTTGGTTTTCTTTTCTTTTTTAAATAATTATAATAATTCCAAATTTTAGGCGAATTGTTATTATTTAACTGAAAAGCTTTGGGCATATCATTCTGACTTACGAAAACTTTTTTAATTGTTTTGTCGCGAATGCGATGGAGATATGAAAAAGCTCAGTTCGCTGATATCCAGAACGAAAGATCACACATAATAAAACCTTTTTTACAATGCTTATGATACTCAGCTGACGATTCTCGGCATATTTAAGGTCCTCCTCCCCTTCATGTAGCCTAACGTGGCCTTCACTTTCACTTCACTGCCCTGCCGGATGGCACGTGACTTTGCTCTCACCTCCTCCTTTCGGTGACGTGGCTATAGTGTAACATTCAACGGACGCACCCTACGTTAAATAACCCACAAGCTCCAGAAACCGATGTTTTATTTTTACGACACTCCTCATTACATTGAAGGTATGCATAGGCGCTACAAAAAATCACATCACGCCAATTTTTGTTTTCATTTGTTTACAATTTCTTTTTGCCCCAATGAGGTAAGAAACGTAAGCTAAAGTGCGGCAAAGTGTCTTACACTCAGGTCAGGTTTTTCTACAGAATCGTAATGTGTTCCTCTTATCACATCCTCACCGCAGCACATGATGAATTTGCTTTGAGTAAGTGATTTGAACTCGAAAATAACCTTTCCGAGTAATTGTTCAAATGCAATATACATGAAGATAAATAAAAGTATGAGTAAGAGTGAAAATAAATATGAGCTTACTTAGAAGAATATGTGTGGATGTATGTATGTAAATAGTTATACCCGGTAAGCCAAATTGTTTTTATAGAATTACCAAGAAATTTCGGAAGTGTTTAACCTAACTTACACCACCACGTGATATCATACGGCAACCTCAAAATGTGGTAAGGCAACCACAGCCAACTTTAATTATGTCTAAATTTTTATTACGGAAAAAATGGCGGGTAACGGATTTTTGTACAAGTTTTCAGTTTTCTTGTCAATTTTTTTTTCATATCGTTCATTTTCGTAAATTACATTTCTTATGCCCCTAGAAAATTGTGTTTTCTTGCGAAAGTGTTATAACAAAATGTGATTTAATTTGTCGTCGCCAACACGCTTGATCGGTGGCGTGAAGGCGCTCGTGCTCTCTATTGTCTTAGATGAAGTTTCAAATTCGGAACTGATTACCGCATTTTAAACTTTATTACGATTTATTGTTTATTGGGTGGGTTGTCCGCCTGAAGAAAACAAATAATATAACTAACCATAAAATAATTAATAGTCAACGGCTTCAAAAAGAGCCGACGCACAGTGGCCGAATCTTATAAAAATACACTCGATTGTGATTATTGTTTATTGAAAACTTTAAAATTAAAAATTTCGCAAAATGGTTACAAGTAAAATAGTTTTACCGTGGGCTACACTGTAAAAGCCCTTACGATTTCCTTTAGTTAAAATTTTTAATGTTGAATTTTAGTTTTTAAATTGATTATACAGAAATTTAAAAAAAAATATAAATAAAATTATCAGTTAACGAAATACACAGCATATGCACTTTCTGAAAAATATATTATTGTCAGTATTAAAAATTATATTTCGTAAAAATACTATTTTGTGCATATTATTTAGTTTGAGAATATGTGTCATTTTTCAAATTTATTTTTTAAGTATCATTCATATCGCACAGTGGTATTTCTACTAGAAAAAAATTTATCTAATTTTTTTTTACATATTTGAAAGATGTTCAAACAGTTTTATTAAAAAATGGTTTCGCACTGTGCACTATTGTACGTATAAAATATTTATCTATTTTATATATTTCTGAGATATTAAAACTAAGTCTTTAAAAAAATTTTGTAATATCGATTTCACAATTTTTCATTATTTTTTTTAGCATTTTCAATAATTGCAAGGCATTAAATTTTTAAGACACGCAAAATTGCGAAATCTCACACACTGTATGTGTCGTTAGTGACAACACATCATTTGCATGATGGTCGAATGTGCATACACACATGCATATGTACATAATTAGTGTAAAACTTGTCTGATATTTTTTTTAAAACACAAATTGCAGCTTTGTCGGTGCACATGTACTTATAAAAAAAAATATGAAAATAAATACAAATAAATTATTAATAAAATTAAATGCATGAAATTTGTGTTTATAGTGCTGTGTGTACTTTTGTAGAAATAAAATAAGTTGATGAGTAATGGCATTTTTTGCAATGCACACGACAAAAGTTGTAAAATGTACAAAATATACCGAAGTGTCTAGAAATATTAGTAAACCGAAATTTGCTTTGTATAATTGTTTTAATTACAAAAAAGCGCAAAAATAAATATAATATATAAATTCGATTCATGAAAATTCTGAAATTTTTTCGTATTTTTTTCGGGATCCCGAAATTACAAGTTTCGTAAAAAGAGCTGCAACATTAAATATTTATAAATGCATATTAATTTAAATAAACATTTAACATATCTACATACAAAACATGCATCACTAATTGGCCTGGCCGAGTGTGTCAATCATTTACAGCGCAGTCAGTAAAGCCGCGAGCGCACATCTTTAAGGCAATCGAGAGTGTTTCGTGCGAAAACTGGTTAAACACACACACAGTTTTTTAAGATTATTATTATTTTTTCTTTGACAATCGTATGTAGATACAAACAATTGTGTATGGGTGTGTGTAGCTTTTTTTTAAAGATAAACAAATTTCCACATCAGCAGCATCTCATTTTGCAATTCGTGCCTTATAACAGGTTCAACTTTTACAAAAAGACAGGCAAGTGTGTATGTATGTACATACTCTTATTTATACAACAACATACATAAATATGTGCATACATATATTAAACTTTAAAGCGAAGCCACTTACTTTTTCGTTAACTCTTCTTTTGGTTACTTTTGTCTTTTCGGTGATATTTAATCTTCCATTGCTTTTGCGCCACAAGGTCATAGGCGGCAAGGTGCATACTCGTCGGTTTACCGATAAGGGAATGGCACTTAAATGCAAGCTTAAATATGTTGTATGAGTACATACATACATTTTATGATAATTTTTTTTTTTCCTTTTGCGACAAAGCTGTAGCTCAAACTAAAAATTACATAAGCCGCACATTCACTTTTAAAACATTTTATTTTATTTTTATTTATTTATTTTATTTTTATTTATTTATTTTATTTTTATTTATTTATTTTATTTTTCTTTTACTTTTTTCATTGGCATTGCAGACCCAAGCGGAAGCCGATGAGAAGGCCGAATTGGAACGCATCCAAAACGAAAGCGCACAATATTCGTATGGCTCAAATGTTGAGGACAATATCAATGATGGTGCTATACAACGCGAGGAGACCCGTGATGGTACTAAGGTAAGTTGAGAGGGCATATAAATCCAAAAAAAAAAAATAAAAATGTAACTCAGTGGGACTTCGAAGCTTGTGGCAACTTATTTGCTTAAAATTCTTCACTTTACCAGCCATACTCGATCTTTTATTACTATTCACTCTCTCTTTCTCTCTCTCTCTTCGCATAAATTCGTTTTAAATTCCTTTCTGACAATTCAAAACTTACCCACCATTGCTCGTGCTATTCGCACTAAGGCCACTCTTCCAGAGTTGTTATCCTTTGAGGTCTCAAACTCTGAGTGGCGAATTTCTGTGAGGGTTTCGAGTGGTTCAATGCTTGTTCTCCAATGAGTGGGGTTGAAGAAATCTAAGGAGCTTTAATCGATCAGTTGCTTTTATTATTGCCTTGTCTAGAGTTCCTTTCTTATATATGAAGAAAGTCCTTCTCAACTGTTTTCCAATATTTTTCTTGGCCTGCCTATAGTTGGTGATATCTTTAAGCGACAAAAGAAATAACTGAAAGTAGATAACAGGCAGAAGCTCTAGGCTGGCTAAGCTTCGAAATGGTAATGGACTTCAGATTTGTTATAAAGAGTATCTTAAATCAACTCATAATTGCTTTAAAGCTGCCCTAATTTTTATTTTAGAATAATTTTTTTTGTTTAGAAAAAAGGATATTCTTACTTAATAATTTACTCAAACCAATTGAGAATTGCTAGCACAAGTCGATAATAAACGAAAACTCAAATTTGAGTTGAATTAGATTTTAGTTGAGTTGATTACACGAAATGGGGTTGAGAGTAATGAGGCGTGCTTAGAGTAGCGAGAGTATATATAGGAAAAAATTTAAGAAAGTAGAGAAAATATAGTAGAAGTGAGGATAAGTTTGAATAATATAGGATAAAAAAGAGTCTTTAGTCGAGTAACTCGAAAAGAGTTGATAATTCGGTTGACAAACCCCAGGTAAACTGCATTCAATAATTGTAGGAATATATAATTTAAAATGGCAGAAAAAAATATGTACATTTCAACAAAAACTAGCTCGAAAATATTTTTGTGGAATTTAAAAAAAATTATTTTTTTCAATAATTTATTTCTATTTCCCCAGGTCAAGGGCATGTACTCCTACCGCGATGGCTATGTCATGCGTACCGTGCACTACGAAGCCGATGAAAACGGTTACCGTGTGGTGAAGGAAGATACACAGGAGATCGGCGATGGACCACAATTCGATGAAAATGGTGAGGCTACCGTTGAGGGCTCCCTGATACCCAAATACTCCATTCGTTTGGATAAAACCGATAACGAGAAACACTACAAGGATGCGCGATTCAGTTAAATTTCTCTGCCGCTCTACTTCGCCCTCTCGCGCTCTCTACATACATACTATGTAAGCTTTATAAGCATAATTGAGTTAAGGAAACAGACTGAAATAATCTTTTGAATTGTTAAACAAAAACAACATGAGTTTTTTTTTTTAATTAATACACAACTTGAATTTAATGTGATTTCATCACAGAGAAAAATCAAATAAAATGAAATGAAAACACACATTTTTTTATATTTCTTGTTTTTGTCTTTTTATTGGATTAAAGCATACATTCATAGTAGTTAATTACGTGTAAGTATGTATGTATGTATTGTACAATAACGGTTTGGAACCGGTTCTCTAAATTGCGCAAATTCTAAACATCAATTCTCACGTTGATAAAATTAAATTTTTTATTGCATTCTTGATAATTCAAAACAAGTTTTGGTATTTACTCTTTTTTCTTTAATAATTTTTTTTTTTTTAAATTTCACCTTCAAGCAAACGTGTATCTATAAAGCTTTTCACATACATAACCGTTAACTTTAGAGTTCTCTCCTATGCACTTCCGTTATTTATGACGCTCCCAAACACCTTACTTACTCCTCAATGGCAACTCTTCACAGTGCCGTTGCTGCGCCGCCGTCGGCTGCTGCTGCTCCACTAAACTGTTATTCGATTTCGATATGATTAATGCTTTCTGCGAGTCGGTTAGATTTATGAAGCTATGTTTGGTCTTCAGCTCATTTTGTATAGATAACAGCAAGTCGGGTGAATTGGCACGCCTGCCCGCAGCGCCTTTCACGCTCACCACACCCGCAAGCTGCTCATTTACCACATTGACTCTCTGTGTATCCTCGCACTCCTGATCCTCTATGCTCGCTAGCGCTTGCGCTCGACTACGCCTACGCATGCGTTTCGAGCCACGCGTTATCAGCATTACAGCCGGCGACTCGTAAGGCAAAGCCTGTATGACGGTCTTTAGTAGTTTTGGCGGTGTTTCCGGCGTTTTTGGATTACTGATGACTACATCCGCTTTGAGCGCACTTTTGGCGCGTTCCTCTTCACGTTCACGTGCCGCATTCTTACGCATGAGCGCGCGTGCTCGCTTCTTCAACATCGCTTGCGCATTGGGATAGTAGGCAATCACTTCATTCAAATCGGATTTGGAGAGCACAAAGAGATTCGCGTAACCTTTGGCGCGTACATCGGCTGTGCGACGATCAGCGCCATGAATGCCCAGCAGGCTTATCTCGCCAAATACTGAACCCTCGGAGAGAGTAGCTAGCACAATGTCACTATGTGGCCCACCCATCACCTGTACCTGACCGAGTTTGATAATGTACATTTCACGGCCCACCTCACCCTTGCGACACACATAATCACCGGGTAGAAAGGTGACGGCACGCAATTTCAAGACCAAATCACGCAGAAGCGCCTCCTCACAATCGGCGAAAAGCTGCACTTTCGAGAGTGTCTGTATGTGCACGGCGATAGCGATGTCCGTTTTCAAATTGATCGGTAATGAGTCGAGAATGTTCGCTTCGTCTGTGAGGGTTACAGAAAATATTAATTTTTTGTTAAAAAAAACTCTATGCTTTAATTTTTTGGTATAAATACCCAATGTACGTTGCTGCTCCCAGGTAAATTTAAACCACATTTTCACACGGCCCTGCACTTCACTTGGTAGATTCAAACGACGCATATACTCCAAGGTCTCATCTTCCAACTGACGGTACTCATTCTTGTTGCGCGTAGCTGTAGAGATGATATCGCGTATCTGTCCAATGAGCAGCGCAAACACGAATACACCCATTAACCAAGCGGCGGTCATGAAAACGTATTCACCTTCCCGTTCAGGCTTGGGATTTTTACCTGTAGAGAAAGCAAAGAGAAAAATGAGCGCTTCAAATGAGTTTCTTGTCTTTCTTACCTATAGATGTCGCTGTTTTAGTCGCGAACGCAAAGCAACGCACATAGGGATGTCCTTTGCCACTGAAAACCCAACGATTTACACCCAAACCTGTAAAGGATTTTTAGGGGGATTATTGTTTTAAAGATCTCTGTATGGAAACTAAAATATCTCGACAAGATTCGGAAAGAACGTGGATAAAGGAGCTTCAGAGCTTGTTGTTTGCCACTTACCTTGATAGTCACTGTATGCGTAGTAAGCGCAGGCTGTTAGATGGATCATATACAACATATAGGTTAGGGTTTTAGCGACGCGTACCTGGAAGAACAAAGAAGAGGAGTTAAAAAGAAAAAAGATAGAGTAAAAAAGCGGTAAGTGATATATTCCACGTCTCATTTGAGCTTCAGAAAGCTTCAAATCACAAATTTTTCTCCTTCTCTGTTTTAATTTGACGGTCCGAGTGGTGGGTGTATGTTAGCCGAGTGAGTGGACTAATTATATACAGGACATATGTTGAGTATGTCGAAGTCGAATTGAGCCCACTACAATATTACTCGGATCCCGCAAGGCAGCTCGACTCGAGCTCTTCGCCTGCTTCGGGTAATGGTTGGATTCTGATGATGGGGTTAATAAAGTTAGTGACGACTCCTCTGTGAGTAGCGTTTAAAATCTGTCGTTAACTCGTTGATTGCGAGTGGTGGGTCTGCGTGCTACTGTGAGTGTGTTCTCAGGTTCGAATCCTGGTCAGCCCAACATACCGGTCCGTCGTTGAATCCCCTTTGTTTGGGTAAACATCAAGACTTACGCTAAGAATCTTTTCAGCGGCTATAAAGCACCAATTCAAAAATTCCCCTAATGGTTATCCCAAACCCCACTTCTTCTCTCGAGTAAAAACTCTGGCCACCTGGCTGGAGACTATAATTAATTAATTTCAAATTTAGTTACTTACAAAATGTGGCGAAGAGATAACACGATCCAATAATTTGAAAACCTCCCAAAAGCTTTGTATTTTAAACAGCCTCGGAAAGCGTAGGTAAACAGCGCCCGTACCATATTTTAAGTAGAAAAGCTCCAGCGGAAGTAAGGCAAGCAAGTCGAGCTGAAAGTAGAGAAGTAAAATTAGCCGAGTGAGGCGCAAAACAAAAGGTGAACCCAACAACGTTCACCCTAACCTCTTCTCACTGCACAAATCGTTTGAGAATTTCACACAAACGAGGTTAATAAATAAAAATTTGAAAAAAAAAATCATTAAATCACTCACCTTGAATTGCAGTTTCCGCATATAATTCTTGCGCGTCAAATTCTTATTCTTCACCCAAAACCCCTCAAAGAGATACATAATGCGATGCTTGAAGAATATAACATCCAACAGATAAATAATATCCGCACAAAAATCGCAAATCAGCCAAGTGTTCGTATTCTCCGGCGTTTGAAAGGGAAACGTCGAGCGCAGCGGTATAACCCAAGCATTGTAGAGAAAGGATAATGAAACTACACACAACCATGAAATATAGATTTTCCCCTGCGGATCCAAAGTCTTCTCTTCATTATTGCTACCACATAAACTGGAACAGATCCACACATTCGAACGTGAAGTATCCGCCTCGAAGAGTCTACCACGGTTCAAGGATTTGGCAGCATCCTTCAATTTAGTTCTGAATGGTGAATTCTCACGTGTTGTGCAGATCGATTTCAAACCGGTTGGTAGCGAACGTACAGGTGAAGCTGAGCCACCTGTACTGGTGCTGGTGCTAGCATCGGCGCTGGTACTGCTCGACGGTGTCGGTGGTAACTCTATGCGGGATTTAACTTTATTGGCACGTGCCGTGAAACGACGCACCAAATGGCGCACCTGGTCGCGCACGTCCGCGTTGAGACTGACAGGCATGAAAAACAAGAAAGAAATTAATTTCTAATCTGCGGCAAACTTTGGTAAAGCCTTCTAGTCATTTTTTCTGATTGGGAGCAATTTAAGCTCAGTAGGGAAACGGAAAAACTATACGTACTCAAAGGGAAGCAGGCAACAGGGCGAGCTTCGAACCGGATGCTTAAAACTGCAATACCCTGCAGACGGAAAGAGTCGTGCCACTTTCAGGTAATGGAATGCAGACTTAAAACTGCAGATCTCTCCAGAAGTGCGACATCAGGATAGTAGACGGCTTAAAACTATGAATTACATAAAAAAGGCGTTCCTCTTTCTGGGAATGAAATTTGCATACTTTTATGAGTAGGTGGCTTAAAATTGGAGGTGCCCCGCTCGTAGCAAGGACGTAAAAGAGTACATTTGCCTTTCAGGTGAGGGAATTGGCTTAAAACTTTTGGTCCAGCCAGTAGTAAGGAGGACGTAAACAAGGAAATTTCACTCTTGGTCGAAGGAGTGTACAGAAGAGCCCAACTCACCTGCTTAGCTTAGTGGTGAAAGACATGCGAAAAAACTGAAGATATCAGACGAGGATTTCTAAAAAGACTGTGGCAAGTCCAGAGCCGAAGATTTACAAACAGAGGACAACACTGCTGAGTGGGTCGAATACGACATATAAGACCCTAAGACAATAAGACTGAGATTTATGTAAAAGTTTGCAAAAATTATGATTTATAAAGCATATCTTTAGGCGACAGTGCTGCCTTCATCAATGTAAATATTGACTTGCAGCTCAAAAAATATACGCTACATACTTCTCCATCTATCGAACTCACCTTGTTGCGCTAAAGCGTCTATCCGTGGCGCTCTCCTCCTCCGGCTCGACAGCAGCAAAGTCACTCTTCACCAGCTCTGGCCCATAATTTTGCTCATCATTCAATATATCCGGCAGTTCATCATAACAAATTTGCACATCCTGTTCATCGTCATCAACCAAGGGCTGAGACTGTGAAGTGGTATTCTCAGTCATTGAAGAAGCCACGCTTGTGGCACGACGATGATGACTATTGCTGCTCTCATTTATATTAGTCGCATTGCTATCTCGCGAAAAACTATTCAAAACCACCACATCTTGCTCATCGGCCACTTCGCCAGGCAGCAGCACCACTGGCTCAGCAGACTGCATTGCCATACCATTAACACCACAGACAGGCGGCGCCGCAGCGTCTGTTTCGCATGTTGCTGGTGTAGTTGATGCTGATGTTGGGGCTGTTGTTGTTGTTGTTGTTGCTGTTGATGATGATGATGATGATGAGGAAGAAGCAGAATTCGGCGTATTCGAACCATTCAACACACGACGTACACTTTCCGGACTCACCAGCGGTTTCTCATGCACATATTTCAGTATATCCTTAACCAAAGCATGTGTACTCTGCACATTCGAACCATGCGGATCGGCCTCTAAACAACCAATACGTCCATTGCGAAAATAAAGTTTCGAATTGGTCAAACGTGGACTACGTATTTTCTGACGCTGGCGCTTAAAGGAGTTAACTTTAAAAGTAACTGGTGTGGACTTTTGCACGCCACCATGTGCCAGTCGTTCGATGGGACTTGGCGTTTTGTTCTCTTTATTCGGTAAAGCTTTGCTGCGTCGACGTCTCAGCATGGGCTCAGCTTTATTGGCATTACGTACGGCGATTTCAGTTGCTGTAATGACATTCTCAATTTCCTTAATATCCTTGGAGATCTCCTCCAAACTGCGACGCATTGTCGCTTCCTGCTGTGAGGGTGAATGATAGCGTGGCGTATGAAAACTGCGGGTATTCCATTTCGTATTGTTCATATTGGTGTGCGGGTGTGTGTGTGTGTGTGTGTATGTGTGTGTGTGTGTGGCTTTTAAGTTCTTCAATGTGCTTTGCTATTGTGGGGTTGCCTGAAATACGCCTTGGTGGTGGTGGCGGCGATGTCAGTCGTCAGAGGTCACTGCTTGTCTGGTGTCTTTTTATTTTTATTTATTTACTTTTTCGTTTGACAACAACAATGCATTACATTTTTACACAGAGTGGTTTGCAGCACAAAATTACAGCGCACAGTGTCTTATGCGGTATATGTATTTATTTATCAGATGAAATACCGTTAAATTGTTAGCACTTCATTTCTTTTTTTTTTCGAATAACTAGCGAAATGTACATATGTATGTATGTATACATGTATGATTCCAATATTCTGAAGGTGATTTGGTTTTCGTTATTATTAAACGTAGTAAATTTTCAGTTTGAACTGCACACGCAGCGTGTTAAATCGAAACTAAAAACCAATCGCACACATACAAGCGTAAATTGTATAATAAATATTTATTTTTTCCCCACTTATGTATTTTTATTATTTATTTTTAATTTTCAATTGGCATATGTTTTACGCGACGCTCGCAAGTGATTTTTGGTCTGTGTGCTTCGCATACCAAATATGCAATCAATCGATTTTTGGTCGATAGCAGCAAATTAAATGATGACATTAACACACACTCAGCCGTTAACGTAAATTCTTATATTATATTTAATATTGTAATTTTTTATTTGTGCTACTTGACTTGGCTGACTAATTGCTTTTCACTGTTATTCGTACATTTTCAATATAAGTGTGTGTGTGTGTGTGTGTGTGCGCTTTTTAATATACTCGCATGTGTACTGCTAATGGATTAGATTAATTGAATGTCCTTCGCTGGCATTAAACAGACTCAAAGTGTGTTTGTTATCATGATTTTGTGCATATTTGTTCGTTTTCTACACAAACCAAATTCGAATAGCACCACTAGACGTTTCTTTTTTCATTTTTATTGCACAAAAATTTTCGATGAAAAATTTGTAATCAAATTGCGAAAAAAAAATATTACTTTTTCACACGCAAACAAGTTGAACTCTACATGCTTTTCTTGTTTCTTGCTATTTTCCAAAATCATCGTAAGCGCTTAGTACGCATGTCCACCGCACAGCAGGCACGCACTTGTCAATCCCAACCAACCCTTAGTTGGAACAGCTGGGCGAACTACAGGTGATTTTGTGTGATAAAAGAGAAAAGAAACAAATTAGTGACCAGAGTGCAACAACCCCTTGATTATTGGTGTTATTATTTTTGAAAGTGCGAAATTTTTTGCGTTAACGTCTATATTTGTTTGGTAAGGTTAGGTTATCGTGGTGAAAGCAATGTAAAATCATTGTGTTGCCAATAAAGACAAAGAATGTTTTTTAGTGGTTTTCAAGAAGAAATGAATCACATGTAATTGAATGTTGTGACCAAGAATTTAGCTACCAAAAAAAATCGCCAAAAGAGAGACCGAATAAAATCTGGGTCAACTGCGGTGCGTAGAACCGGCTGTCTGGATACTGTAGCAGGTTAAACTCCTAGCTATCCTGACTCATCTCTAGTAAGCCCTGCATGTGGAGATCCGCCGCACGACCCTAACCACATTTTCACATGCCTTCTTAAGCCGAAACATCTAACCCTTCTCTCCCACTGTCCCAACCCCGTCGAAAGAGCACGTTTCCTGAACCTCCCGTTAGATGACTTCGGCGACTTAGATTGATTAAACCTTTCTCTAAGCGGGGGCGGGGCTAGTGAACCGCTACAACAACACCAACAACAATTTAGCTTTATTATAAAGATAAGTGTATGTCATTTATGAATCCGGCAAGTAATCGCCATGGTTGCTTCAAATAAATTCGAGTCGACTGTGCAAGATTTCGACCACCTTTTGCAGCTATAGGGGCCGTATGTCAGCAATAACGCGTGGAATATTCTTTTTCAATACAAGACTCGGGCATATCTAAATAGCCAAGCGATTTGGCATAATACCTACAAAAATAGTAAAACGATCTTGAAGACCCTGACACAAGCTTACGACGCGAGATATCAGAATGCCTTCACCACTTTATTTAAGAAATCTCTACTAATAATATGTGGGGCTTAATTCACGACAGGTTATGTTTATCGTTGGTGCGACGGTTAATCTTGAATTTCAGAAACTTGAATTGACTTGTATTGGCTTTGCATTTTACAGTCATAAGTAAGCCAACTGAGGATCTAAGTGTAATCACATATAATCGGAAATAAAACGATACGAACTTCTCAGAAGTGGAATAAGCTACTGTGAGCAAAAAAGAAAATGTGAATTTATATTTAAATTATTTTCGGTTTTGGATAGCCAAAAATGCTTATACTATTATGTTGGCAGCACTGAAGTGCATGAAATCATTCAACAACAAAGTTCGATTAAGCTGTATTTACGGAATGAAATATCTGCTGCCGAGACTTTGGAAATGTTGCAGAAGTACTTCAGTGCTTCAGTGGGCAAACTCTATCGAAATAGAACTTATAGAGGGTAGTAGGTAAATATGTACTGAGAGACGAGACAGGGTTAAATACGAGGCACGTTTTGAGTGATCGTCAATCATCGGTAGAATTTCGAGGTTAAATATCAAAACTCAGAAAGATTAATCAAGAGGATCACAGGGCGGTGACCACCAAAATGGGTTTCCGTGATCTCATATGCCGATGATTGGTCGATATTGGCATATGGCCAGGATATTGATGACTTATGCTCGATGATCTTCTTCATTGCAAGACAATTAAAAATACAACCGATGGCTACCCTTTTCACCAGCTGGATGAATGAGTTCAGGCTCGAAAATTCCGACTACAATCAGTACTAGGAGTCACATTCGACTGCACTCCTTCAATCCGCATCCGACTGCAAATGTCCAGAGCAGCAACAAAATCTTCAAAGTGCTAGACGGCAGCACCTGGGAAAAAGATAAAGGAACTTTGAAAAAGCAATTGGCTACAAGTTAAAGAGCATTGTGCTTTGTTAAGTAACCAATTCCTATTGGGATGCTACCCCGTAATGCTCCTAGCTATCTATAACGTACCCGCACGACATTAACCACCCTTTACATGCCCCCTAAAACCAGCACATCTAACTCCCCCCTCCATTTGGTGCAAACCTGTCGAAACAGCTCATTAGATGATCTCGGTGACTTGGATAAAGCCGCTACAACAACAACAACAAGTATGACTAGACCTGGGGTTAAGTGCAGATAAGGTGCTGCACATGTAACGGAAACCAGGCTAATGTGCAGCTGAGGTGAATTGGTGGTAGAAAGACGGGAGCAATAAGCAGCTCGTTGGTGGCCGATTTGACCGCTTTATAGGGTGTTTTCCCTTAGTTAAGTCGCGAGAAAACTCTTTTCTTTCTTACATAAAAAATCCGTTTGTTTTTCAAAAGATTGAGTGGACAACGCCGAACTTCCGAAATAGAAATCTAAAATATGGTCATCCACTTCCACAGGAATTGACAAAACCTATAACCAATACACAATCAAGGAACAGCAATGAAGTGCAAACTAGCAAAATTAACAAATTTTTTTGTTTTTTTTACAAAACATTTCTTATATTGTACTATTGTTTTTTGATGCACATAAATATTTATGGACATTAGCGTTAATCGAAAAAATCTTAAGTTGCAAGCGCAGAAGAAAAACACATTACTTATTAGTTGTTAAATTTTACATTAATGAATTTAAATGAATTATTATAGTAAGTTAAATCGTATGTTATTTGTGGTAAACACATACAATACATTATTTGTTTATTTGATATACATACTCGCAATTTCAATTTTTGTTTATATTTTCATTATATTGTATATGTAAAGTACTTGCGTAACATTTACTAAACTTAAATTATACATGAAGAAGTGTATGCATATGTAAATGTTTATTTATTTTTAATTTTTTACTTTCATAAACTTTTTCTTCTCTTGCCTGTCGCACGCCACTTCGACATATAAATCAGCTTTTGCTCTATGTTTGCTCTACTTCCTTTCGCTGTAGGATGCAGTTAAACAAAATTTACATTTTAATGGTTTTTCTTATTTTTCTTCTTCTTACGATGTGGTTTCTTCCTATTCTTTCGTTCCTATTTCTTGCCGCCCTTACCACTATCTTCTGAGCTTTTAGCAGACTTATCATCGGTTTTCTTTTCCTTGTCCTTCACATCCTTGCCATCTTTTTCCTTGTCCTTATCCTTGTTCTTTTCTTTCTCCTTTTCCGCATCCTTGTCCACTTTCTTGCCCTCCTCTGCATCTCGATTCGTTAGTTTATTATTGATGAGATTGTGCAAGGCTATTATGGAACGCACCATAGACGCCAAGTAAACGACAAGCATTTGATCATTTGTTTTAACATACATTGTCTCGGTGAATTGTTCACTCGTTATATCGGGTAACAGATTGAAGATATCTTGCAGCTGATACACAATTTGATGGTTAATGGGCATTTTCCCATCCCCAACACGTTGCAAATAATTTTTAATATCATGCAATTGCGCATTTAAGCCCTTCAGACCCATTAATTGGTTGGTGATTTTCTGTGAGAGGCTGCCAACTGTGGTGTCTTTGATGTCGCGTAGCAGATGCTCAACGCCCACTTCTTCAGCTTCTTCGGCACCGATTTCGCTGGGTACATGTTCGAATGTTTTACTTGTTGGTGAGCCATCATCATGGACCTCTTCAATTGCAATATATGCTTCAGTGGGCAAGCCTAAATCTTTCGGTTTTGCATCGATTATCACCAGCACAGAGTTGGGACAATAGCGACGTATTAATTCGTTTATGGCAATATCATTTTGATGTAGCTTAGGACCGGTATGGTACCAGCCAACGACACGTTCGCGTGCATTCACTTTCTTGAACATGCCATACATGTTTTCCAGATAATCATGATCCAAGAACCAGACAGACTTATCTTTATCATCCTCGTCGAATGGTACTTTTTAAGATAAGAGAAATTGTTATTTAAGGAATTGCATTAATGTCATAAAATACAAACTCACCAGCAAAACTGTTGGACACATCCAGTATGCCTTTGGCACGCCAACAGCCCAATAAAACACCGACAACTCGTCTTTGGTTACCAATCTTGCCCATACGATTGAAATGATCCACCACAGAGAGTAGCACCAATGGGTGCACGATCACCTTATTCACGCTTACCTCCAGTGACGGCATTATATTCTTATTATTTATCTATTTAATGTTTATAAAGGCCAGTCGAGAAATCAAAACCAGCTCGATGACTTTTGGAAAACTTTTGTGCTAATAATGCCGAACAAGAAGAAGAACGATGACAGTGGAATAAAATTCTTCTTCAAGTTGTCGGCGATGACAATTGATGTGGGTAAGACGGTTTAGGTGGATAAGAGAGTTTCGTATTGTAAAAACGTAACGTAAAGTAACATAGAAGTCTTTTGGCAGTGCTAAATTCTGATAGGAAAATAATTGATCTAAAGCCGATTTGATTGGAAAAATACTCAAATTTCTCTCATATTAAAGTTCAGCTAATATAATTTTCGATTGCGAAAGTCATACATTTCCAATTCGCCTTCAGATGTCTCCCAAATGGAAAAACATTGATTTTCTCATTTTCTTTGCGCAATATGTTCGAGTTGGAAACACTTATGTGTTTCACATTTCGCTTTTATTTCAGTTTCTACTTTCTACTATACTTCGTAAGTTAATTTAATATCGGTCGGAATATGTTTTTATAGTTTTATAGGTTTTAGTCATCAAAATATGAAAATTATTAAATATTCGTTGTGTTGAATCTATGTAGCGTGTGTTTTGTGTACAAAATTATTGTGAAAAGAAGTTTTGTCGTACAAAATTATAGGTGTATTGTGGGTGCAAATCCTTACATGTTCGGCAGATTGCTTACGCTGCGAACCGAAAATTTCGTATGTTTTATAAGAAAATGTTGTAAAGGCTCGAAAGTGGAAATTGTGAGCTCGTAATTGTAATTTGCATTAATTTGTTTTTATGCGATATGATGCATTGAATTAATTTTTATTGCTTCGCATGACCAAATTTAATTTTGTCCTACCAAGCATAGGGTTACCAACACATATCAAACTTTAGTGCGTTGGTGCAGGAAAAAAGGGTGTGCGTGAGCATCAGTGACCTTGTAGTTAGTTTTATTGTGATATTTCCTTTTCTATTTAAAATTGTCGTTCTTTCATCACCTATATATACGGAACATGCGTGAAATATATAGACATATGCATTTTCAATGAGTTAATAAATAATTTGTACAGTCTTAAGCCAGTTGGCAGTCCTAAAGTAACCGCCATTTTATTTTAGTTATGTGTTCTTTTTAGACGTTTTCTCTGCTGTCATGAATCAATGTAAATATGAGTGACTAATAAACCAATAGAGAGCGGCGACAGTGATAAGCGGCGCATTTTTTAACTCATCGTTAAAATATTTTGTATGTTAATATTGATAGAAAAAAAACAAGAATTATTGCGAAAACTTGGCTTAAATTAATCAAATGTACATACATAAGTATTTAACGAACTATGAATGAAATTGCCGAGTTGTCTCGCGAACGGCCAACGAATGGCAGCAGCTGATGGCTGGCTAGCTGGCAAGTTGAACTGGCTGTTGTCGCAGCGTTTGAATGAATGAACCAGGAATGCAAGCACTGAATATCGACTGGTTTCTGTTACTTCATACATACATATTTGGCTGGGTGTTAACACATGAATTTTCATAATACTCCAACGAAAACTAAAGTAAACTTATCACTACAGGTGTATTTAACGTGATAAGGTTTAAATAGATTATTTGAATTCCAATTGGCTTGTAACATGGTGTTGTCAGTGCTAACGAAATACTAAAAAATCGCACACAAAATTGATTTTCCTCAGACTTGAAGTATTTCCGATTGAAAAGTCAATGTGAATAGTAAATTAAACTAATTGAAATTGACCAATATCGAGTGCTGTGGTTTACTAATTTTTCTCGCAAGCTTGATTCGCAGTAAAATACTAAATAGTACGCAGTGAAACATGCAGTTTCATTTTCATAGCTTAAATGAGTCACATTTTTGTGAATTGATGTAATATTTAAATATAGCTTATTTGAGCATTTGCTAATAATTGTATAAACACGATAAAAAAAATTGTACGTTAAGTCATCATAAACTCGTATCATATGCTAATCAATGTGCCAGATGGGCCGAGAGCAGAGGGTTTCTGCTAAACAGATTCATAAACAAATTTTACAATAGGTATTGGCGAAATCTTCTGCTTTCACCGTCGGAGCGCTCAACATGCAATTTTAAACAATTTTGTATTATGTTGAATGTCAAAAAAGCGATATATTGATTTATTCTCTTTTGCAAGCTGTTGAATAATTCCAATCAACCCATTTCAATTGTACCATCATTCATTTTATATCATTCACTTGCCTTTATTTTGATACTATAGAATCTTTCTTTGGTTCTTCTTTTACAGTTTTAAACCCGCACGCTCACAAAGGCATGAAGACCCAATTTTAAAGCCGATAATTAAATTAGAGAAGAGAGGAAAAATCGTTGAGAACATTGAACGACCCGACCAACAAGGCAAACGGTGGTAGGGGAACACGTGCGCCACAACAACTACACAGCTATAGCTCTAGCAACTACTGCGACTGCTGCTGTTGGCGCTGCTAGTGCTATTAGTACGAGAAGAAGGGTGACCGATTTTACTTATTGGAATTGAGTGTGAACTTGATGGAAATGTTTTTGGTTTGATTTGAGAATTGAAAAAAAAAGAAAACTAAGACAAACCAAGTAGAAAGAAAGAACTTGAACAGATAGAGAATTAGCTACCGAAAAGCAATTAAGCTGCTGCCGCATGGAAAAAAATACCAGACAGGAAAAAAGCAACAATAACAACATCAACATGAAAACGAATCAAACTACTTTTGTGTGTTAAAAGCAAAATGTAGTGCCTTTGGAGTGTAAAACTGCTGTGGATATTTTATTTTTATTTTTTTTATTGTGTATGTAACATTAATGTAACATACCCGTGTAACCCATACGACCGAAAATAAATAGTTATTAATTATATACAGTAAATAAGTATAACATAATGTCGTTCATAAATAATCTTAAGAAGGTGTTCCACCTTGGCGGTGGCGAGGCGAAGAAGAAACGTCTTTATAATAACATCAAAATGGACACTGATCCAACGGAGTTTTGGGAGATGGTAGGTGAGTTGGGTGATGGCGCTTTTGGCAAGGTGTATAAGGCGCAACACAAGGAACAAAAACGCTTTGCAGCGGCAAAGTTGTGCACTCTAGAAGATGAGGAGAATCTAAGCGATCATATGGTTGAAATTGATATCTTATCAGAGATAAAACATCCAAATATAGTGGAATTATACGAAGCATTCTCAATAGAAGATAAGCTGTGGGTGAGTTTTTTTTTTTTTTTAGATAAATTAAACAAAAAAGTCTACCGATTTTTCAATGAAAAATTAAAAAGTTCTTAAAAATAATAGTTTAAATAAATTATCCATTTAATCAACGTTACTTGCTTAACATTTTATAATTCTAAAATTAAAAAGCGAGTTGTATGTATGTACATATTTATGAAAATCATTTTATTTGTTTACATTTAGATGTTAATTGAGTATTGCGATGGCGGAGCATTAGACAGCATTATGGTGGAATTGGAGAAGCCGTTAACTGAACCACAAATAGCCTACGTGTGCCGACACATGACTGAAGGTCTTAATTTTCTGCATAAAAATAAAGTAATACATCGTGATTTAAAGGCTGGTAATGTTTTGCTAACCATGGAGGGCGGTGTTAAGTTAGGTTTGTTAATTAAATTTCATATACATAAATATATTTTTTTATGTATATATTCAAACATTCCATCCTTTACAGCTGATTTCGGCGTATCGGCTAAAAATAAGCATACTCTCCAAAAGCATGACACTTTCATAGGCACACCCTATTGGATGGCACCGGAGCTAGTGCTTTGTGAAACATTTCGAGATAATCCTTATGACTTAAAAGTGGATATCTGGTCATTGGGCATAACATTAATTGAGTTAGCGCAAATGGAACCACCAAATAGTGAAATGTCACCGATGCGTGTTTTATTGAAAATACAAAAGAGTGAACCGCCAACACTGGATCAGCCATCAAAATGGAGTAAAGAATTCGTTGAGTTTCTCAAAAAATCATTGGTCAAAGTGAGCGCACCCAAACAAAAAATTTTACTAATATATGTTTGTTTATAAATATTAACATTTTTTCCAAATATATTTTATCCCCCAGGATCCACAACAACGTCCCGCTACAGATATTTTATTACAACATAGATTCATAAATTGTGAATTAGACGCTAAACCCATAAAAGACTTATTATTAGAATATAAAGCTGAAGTTGTTGAAGAAGTTGTCGATGATGATGCTGAGGTGAGTTTTTTTTTTATATTTTTCCATAATTTGGAAAACAAAAAAATTGTATTGTATGTAGTATGCAATTGAAAAAAAAACACCTGCTTTTATTGTAATTATTGATAATTAATACTTATATATACATTTCTTACACGCTGCTAAATATCCTGCGCAATGCGTTTTTTCCATAAAACTGCACACTAACAAATTGCAAAAAAAAAAACTCCAAATCAAATTTGTTGAAACAACAAATATTTGTAAAAAAAAAAAAACTAAAAACAAAAACAAAACTATTTGTGTACATTGCACAAAATTTGTTGTTGTATTGCTTTTAGAAGCTTAAACGTCAAGTGAAGCGGCGCTCTCTTTATCAGAGGGTTGGTAAGTCGGTGGTGGACGACCTAACGACCTTGCTGGTTGTATACTGTTTACCACAGCATTTTTTACTAGTCGTTTTTTCACACTTATCTTTTCTAAAAGAAAAAAACTAATTAATGATTGCATGTTACATATTTTTGAAATTGCATCATAGCGTTGTGACGTCACTACATTTTGTTAATTTTTTTTTTTTCGAAAATCATTCATTTAGAATTAATTTGTTTCGCTTTATTTGTGATTCGCTGTCAAATTTTCACATTTAATTAAAATTATACATACGTACATATATGAGTTTACCACATGAAAATAGAAAAACTTTTAATTGTTCCTCCCATTATTGAGAGAAAATTAATTATTAGAAAAAATTTTTTTATAATAATAAAAAAACCCGTAAATTCAAGAATTGCAGAAAAGTAAAGAAAAGGAAAGCCAAATAAAAATCGTGAAAACCAGATATAAGCGGAATTTCTCTTAAGCTTAATATTTTAAAAATATTTAAAATATGTTAAATTTCTGTTGTTGTCGTAACCGCAAAAATTTTCCTCAAATGAATTTATAAAGACCCGACTGTCGCGGGAACTATTGGATTTTAGTCGCCTCTTACGACAGGGTAAATTTTTGAACCCTAACCCGCAGGAAGTGTTAAATTTCTCATATAAAACTGTTTATAAAAATTACGTTTTAAATATTTTTCGTCACCAATTTTTATATTAACACTAATAATTACTATTTTTTAAAACTATTTTTTTTTTAAATTTACTTCGCACATCCGTTAATCACTTTGTCATTTTAAGCTTTTTTACAAATTATAATTTTTTTAATTTAGATATTTTTATTTGTAGTTTAAAATTTTTGTAGTGGCTAATACCACTTTTCTAAGTAGACATTTAACAAAAAATTGTATACAAATGAATTAAATATATTATTTTTTTTTCAATATAACAAAAATGTTACTAAAATGCTTCCAATTTTCTTAATTTGAAGTAGTTTTTAAAACTAAATATTTTAAAATATCTATTGAAATATAATCTGACAGTTTTTAACAATAGTTAGTGTTAATATTTGAATTTTTAATTTGTTTTTAATATTTTATTTTATTTTGTTACTATGTTTGTTTTATTTTTCTTTGTTATTTGTATTAAACTCTAACTTGTTGTAATTTATTATTATTATTTTTTCTATTTTTTTACTTTTTTATAATTTTTTTTTTTAAATTTTTTTGTTATATATTTTGCTTTGCTTTTCTTTAATCTCTATTTGTTTTTATATATTTATTCATTTCTTTTAGTTTTATTTAAATTAATTTAATTTTTTATCAAATAATTAATTTAATTGATTTTATGTTAATTTATTTTATTTAGAGTATTTTGTTTATTTTGTTTAAATAAGATAAATTTTTCTTTTCGAAGCGAAATTGTTACATTATTTTCTGTTTTACTTCTTATTTTTTTTTAAATTTCTTTTTTCTCTTAGATTTATTTTATTTTATATTGTTTTATTTAATTTTGTTTAATTTTTTTTTATTTTATGCTTTTTTTATTTATTTTTTCATTTTATTTTATTTTATATTTTTTTTATTTTATTTTATTTTATATTTTTTTATTTTATTTTATTTTTATTTCTTAATTAGTTTTTAATTAATTTTTTTTTAAATTTATTTAATATATTTTTTTATTCATTTTATATATTTTTTGATTATTTTATTTTATTTTTCTTAATAGAATTTTAATGCTATTTCTATTTATTTTAGTTTTATTCTAATATATTATTTTGCTTTAATTATTATTATAATCTTTTGTTTTTATTTTTTTCCAATTCTGTCCATTTTTTATTCCTTTCGTATTTATTATTTTTAATTTTTTCAATTTTTTTTTATTATATATTTTTTTTATTAATAATTATTATGTTACTTATATTTACATTGTTTAATAAAAAAAACACCAGAACTTTTGCATTTATATACAATTTTTTGTTATTCATGTGTAATTCGGCATCCGAACTCTGTACTCTTCTTTATAAACTACATATTCTTAAAATATACCTCTTCCTACTCATAGGAACCCCGCAACTCGGCGCTCCGGCTCGACCTGGACGATGACTCTGCCTCTTTGCAGAGCCAAGATATTGACAAACGTAAGTTTTTTGAATCTACTAAAACACTTACACATCCAAACTCACACAGAACACAGAACTGTGCCGCTAAGCCTAGTCAAATGATACAATTTATTCAGTTCCAGGTACCCCAACATCAGTATCTATGGACTCTAAAGAACCAAATCAAACAAATAGTATACCACAAAGTAAACTATCACAACCGCAACAACCACAACAAGTTGGAGCTAAAGAAAATAAAGAAAACGCTTCACCTGTTTTGCAAAAAAGTCTTGAAAATAATCAAATATCAAAATCTTCTAAAGCGACAGCAAAGGAAGATGAACAAAAAATTAGCGTTAATAATACGCCAAAGGATAATAATACGAGTAACAACAACAAGCCGCTTTCTGCCAGTGCCGTGGTTAGTAAGCAGCAAGCCGTTGTTGCTAACGAAGCTGATAATAGTCTTCCGGAGAAAGGCGTTGATGCTGAGAGGAAGGTGCGCAAAGGATTTCATCTATTAAAGAAATGAAAAAATTTATTTATTTTAATTTTCTTTTTTGTAGATTACCAAAAAAGAGAAGGGTAAGGCACCACCCCCACCATCTGCAGCCATTGCTGCTGCTGCTGCTGCCGCTGCCGCCAGCGCTGTTATTTCCAAAACGCCAGAAGCACCACCAGCACCAGCAGCAAATGCACGCACAGAACCGGAACGCCGCATCACAGATGAAGCGACGCCCATTGAGCTGACTCAAAATGTGGAAATCGATGTCAATCAAGCGACGTCAGAGGCATACAACGCTAACGAGCATCAAGAGCAAGCGCATGCCTTGCCATCACCACCATCGCCAACCACATCATCAGCTGCGGTATCGGTTAATTCCACTTCGTCGTCATCGGTTAAGAGTGGGGCCATGTTAAGCTCCAGCACATCGCTAATTACCATTAATAGCGAGGCTTCGCCATCGAGCACACCCACGCGTTCCTTTGGCAATCAGGCACAGCAACAAAGTGTGGTACAGCCAAATAGCTTGGAAGCTGGCGTTAGTCAAATAAGGGTGGTCACCAGCACGCACCCACCAGTTATCATAGACAATTCTGTGCCGCCTGCTGCTGCTCAGAGTGAAGTGATTATCGTTTCAAATGATTTGAATAAAAGCACACACGTGCCAGAATCCTCGACAGATGATGACTTCACTTCGTTCGATGACAGTCTGGGCGATTCACCGCTATCGCCACGACAATCATCGATGATAGTGGCAGTTTGCGAGAAAGGCAGCGTTGAAGAGACGGACAAGGCTGACATTATGGGCAAGTCGGCGCGCGCACGCAAATTGGATGAAAGTGAAGTGCTTATTGTTAGCCCATCTTTCGTTGACGACGACTCGGCCTATAATACAGCCACTGGCAGTCACGATCACAGCGAACATCTAATGGACACCAGTCACGTTTCGGTTGTCACTGTCGGCGATGAGATAAAAGTCAAGGATAGCAGTCACTTAAATAACGATCAATATGATACAACACTTAGCAACGATAACAACAATCTAAATAACCAACGACCATATGTTAAGAATCACCAAAATGGCCAAATAATTACAGGCACACCCACAGAAGATGTAAATATTATTATTAACCGTAATACGCCACAAGACATTAGTGCCGGCAAGCGGCCGTCACCGGACAATAGCGTAGGCTCCATGGATTCACGTACACTGAGCGAAAGCGGTTCGCTACGCTCGAGTGGCGGTGTCGTACGACGGGCCGTCGGCTTGAATATTGCAACGGTAGATCAAAGTGACGTGGAAAGTATCGGCACCACAACTAGTCATGATAGTCGTAATGAGGCGGAGGCTCCCATAATGGGTACGAAAATACCCGAGGACGAGGAGGTGGTCATACGACGAAAACAAGGAGCGCCAAAGATAGTTGCACCAGCCGGGCCGACTAAAGAAGAAATCGAATTACGTAATCTACGTAAGAAGACACGAAAACGTACACGAAAATTCGAAATCGACGGTGTACAAATGACGACCACCACAAGCCGTGTCATCTACGGTGATGAGGAGTCTGGTCGACTCTACGACGATCATGTGTTCCGTAAGCAGGAACTGCGTGAATTGAAAATGTTGCAAAAACAAGAGAAGAAACAACAAAACGATTTGCAATTGAAGGAGCAAATTGCGCGTGAACAGCAGGATCGTCGGTTCGAACAAGAACGTATATCGTTGGAAAAGACTTACGAAGCTGATATGGATACTTTGGCAAGGCAACAGAAGCAATTAATTGAGCGGACCGAGCAGGCGCAGGAGCATGAGGTGAGTGTGGGCGTTACAGATATTATTGGCATCTGCTTGGGAGGTTGGGATATATAAAAAATCCAATTCAAAACGTGTGCTGAGTCTAAAAAAGCAATGTCGATATTTTCATCGTCATCTCTATTTTATTTCTTTTCTTTCACCACAGTTGCGTACATCCTCCAAACGCATACGTTCCGAACAAGAACAGGAACTGAAAATCTTCCGTGAGAATCTTAAACAAGAAATCCGTTTGCTTAAACAGGAAGTTGACTTACTGCCCAAAGATAAACGTAAAGATGAATTCAAGCAACGTCGTTCCGCCATGGAACTAGATCATGAGGAGAAGGAACGCGCCTTCTTGGATTCGCTTAAGGAACGCCATGAATTGCTCTTGCGGCGATTAAGCGAAAAACATCGCGATCATCTTGCCACAATTAATCGCAATTTCCTACAACAAAAACAAAATGCCATGCGTACACGCGAAGCGTTACTTTGGGAGTTGGAAGAGAAGCAGTTGCACGAACGCCATCAATTGGCTAAACGACACGTCAAGGAGCTATGCTTCATGCAACGCCATCAAATGATTGTGCGGCACGAGAAAGAGTTGGATCAGGTGAAGAAGATGTTGCAACGCAAAGAGGAGGATATGATCAAGAAACAGGCGTTGGAGAAACGTGCACTGCCCAAGCGTATACGTGCCGAACGTAAAGCGCGCGATTTGATGTTCCGTGAGTCATTGCGCATATCAACAAATCTAGATCCGGAAGTTGAAAGAGAACGTCTAAAGAAGGTACTTTGGGAACAATTAATAAAAATGAATTTAAATTAATTAAAATAATTTATTTTCATCCTCACAGTTCCAAGAGCAAGAGAAGAAACGTTACACCCAGGAAGAGCGCCGATTTGAAATTAAACATCAGAAACAATTGGAAGAGCTACGCGCTACACGCGAGGGGGCGATAAGGTGTGTAAAGCAAATAATGATTGTATTATATTTTTCTTTTCAAAAATAGCACGAAAACTCTTTTTAAAAATATAAAAAACTCCTGAGAAATATAAAAAAAGCAATAAAATATAAAAAAATATTAAAAAAATAAAAAAAATTGAAATATATATAAAAAAATAGAAAAAATATATATAAAAAAATAGAAAAAATATATATAAAAAAATAGAAAAAAAATATATAAAAAAATAGAAAAAATATATATAAAAAATAGAAAAAATATATATAAAAAAATAGAAAAAATATATATAAAAAAATAGAAAAAATATAAATAAAAAATAGAAAAAATATATATAAAAAAATAGGAAATATATATATAAAAAATAGAAAAAATATATAAAAAAAAAAATAGAAAAATATATATAATAAAATAGAAAAAATATATATAAAAAAAATAGAAAAAATATATATAAAAAATAGAAAAAAATATATAAAAAAAAATAATAAAAAAAATAATCAAAAAATAATAAAAAAAATTAATAAAAAAATAATAAAATAATATTAAAAAAAATATATAAAAAATAATAAAATAATAATAAAATAATAATAAAAAAAATATAAAAAAAAATATATAAAGTATAAAAAAATATCAAAAAAATATAGAAAATACCGAAAAAACATAAAAAATACAAAAAAATATAAAATTTTAAATAACATTAAAAAATAAAAAAAAACTTAAAATTATTAAAAAAAACAAAAAAAAAAATATTAAAAATATTAAAAAATATAAAAAATATTAAAAAATATAAAAATAATTAAAAAATAAAAATATATTAAAAAATATATTAAAAATATATTAAAAAATATAAATTATATTAAGAAATAAAAAAAAAATTAGAAAAATAGAAGAATATAAAAAATTAGAAAAAAATACAAAAAAAAAAATATGAAAAACATGTAAATAAATATAAAAACATTATTGAAAAATTTAAAAAAATATAAAACTGTATTGAAAAATCTGAAATATATAAAAAAAAATTAATACGATGTCGCGTCTTTTCGGACCAGCAGAAGTGTACGTGCATTGCAGACGATCCGCTTTTGCTGATAGAAAGAAACGGCAAATGTTGCAACGCAATAGGCGTGCTGTTTCTAAAACTTCTTGATTCAGCCGGAGCAGAATTTCTCATCCAGGTCCTCTACCACTGAATAGGACAGAATAGTCCCACTACTGAATTCTGGTAAACTACCGACCGATATCCATCGTCTCCTCAGTAGCGAAAACATTTGAGACCTTGCCGCCCCATCCTTTAGTCTTCACCTGAACACAGCAATACATTAGCATGACTTCCGTGGAAAATAAACAAGAAGTTCCGCATAGGGGTTTCCCCTTCGCTTTTTAATTTCTAAGTTTTGTAGCTCTTTTCGCGCCCAAATGATGTCTTCTTGATTTCATATGCTCTTGATTACTCGTCATTTGTCTACTCAATGCTACCTGATTGAAGATCTGCAAGGGCCTGAACGCAGAGAGTCTGTCAAAACCGAATCAACTACGATCAATAAGTGACAAAGAGATCGCAGTAATATTGCTACAATAAAAGTCTGGTTAAACTGTAGCAGATTCTATTCCTACTTATTCTGACTCGGTTCCGTTCCGACATTAACCCCTTTGCATGACCAATAATTTAACACACTTTCCCTCTGTTCTCTATTCGTCGAAATAGCTCATTTCATGTATCTCCGCTTATATAAGACAACCTTGGCGACAACGACTAACGCTACAGCAAAAAAAAAAAAAAAAGAAATCAGTGTACTCAGGAGTCATTTCTTTGAGTTCGAAAGAATATAATAATTTTGTTTTAATTTCTATATTTATTGTACATTCATTCCTACCTTTTCCCACTTAATCTTCAACAGAGAACTTGAACAACTGCAGAATGAGAAACGTAAGGCATTGGTCGAGCACGAACAAGCCAAGCTTACGGATATCGATGAGCGCTTGAAGGCTGAGTTGCGTGACTGGAAGGAGCAATTAGTACCTAGAAAGCAGGTAAATATTCGTTTAATTTATTGTAAATACTAGTGTTTTCTAACGGCGTTGTTTTTATTTTAGTCTATACTTTATCCACTTGGTTTATTTTGAAATGAAATATTATTTTTTAACGCCAAGGTGTTTGAGTTGAGTGCGAAGCTTTGCTTTCTTTTTTTTTTTTTTTTTTAAAAATAATGCATACAGCCAATGTCTAGAAGAGAATTTTGCATAAAAAGCAACAAGCGTTATGTGTTTGTATGTATGTATAGGGTTTTGATTGGTATTAAAAAAAAAAGGAAAAAAATGTGTTTAAAATTTTTTTGAAGCATTTTTAATATTTTGTATAATACAAATTTAATATTCTTCACATATCTTTTCTTATGATAAATATATACATAAATGTGGGGTTGTGCACTTAACTACATATAATATTTGAGGGACATTGTGCTGTATGTAACCGCCAAATTCTGCGTTTTTTGTAAAAATTTACCTTTTTAAAATTTTTAATGTAAAATTTTAATGCAATATGTTTGTAAAATTAATTTAAAATATTCAGCATGTTTTCTTTGTTGTTATTTTTGTTGTTGATTTTTACGCTCAACTCATCACCTGGTATCTGGTGCTTAGTTAATGGTGGCGTTGTCTGGCTTATTTGTAGTTTTTTTCTTTTACAATTTTTAATATTATTATTTTTTAATGCCTTAAATTAGTTTTTTTTTTATAATGATTTAGCTTACTAGTTTGTGTTTTGCCTCAGCCGTACCAAAGTATTAAAAAAATCTCAAACTAAATACTCTTTTGAGGTTAAAAACTCGCATTTAAAAAAAAAACGATTAAAACTTATCTCTTATGTATATCCTTTTCTCTTTTAACCGCTACATTTATATGGCTTGAATTTTGGATAATTAATAAATGGTATTGAATTTAATACAACAACTTTTTACTACTACTAATCTCTAAATGCCGAAATTGCATGCAACCCTGCCAAATGTCAAACAAAAAAAAAATCTTCCAAAAACTATCTACATGCATATATATACATATATACATATATATATATATATAAATAATGTTTGGGTATGGTAACATGACTGACTATTTATGCTTTGGCGCTGGTTCTGCTTTGCAATAAAAAAAAAATAAATAAAAAATAAAAAAATCCAACAAATTACACACTAAACAACAACAACAGAAACTAATCGATACGCTCAATAAATCGTCTGAACGTTTTGAACAAAAACACGGTGCCATACCCGATCGTGTGCCATACACCACGAAAGATATTGAAGTGCCATCGCACCTGCGTGGCTTCTTCAACGATGCGCCACGTTCACTGCCGCGCGGTCTCTTCCTCGGCGACAATCAAATGTTGCGTTCATCACGCACCTACTTTTCGCTCACCGCCGATCAGCGTGCTAAATTCACCGGCTCCACGCCCGATCTGAGTCGCAGTGTGCCCACCACGCCGATATTCCGCAAATTTGCGCAACCGAAAATGCGTAGCGACAGTTTAGCGCTGGATAGAGCACCCAAATTGCGTGAGGAACGTTTCGACGAAGATATTGTTGAGTTGAGGCAAGCGCACGGTCTGCTAACGCCACGTTTCACCAACGTCGCAGCAGCGCCAACTTCAAGGCACGACATGATCGCTGAGTTGCCGCCCATAGAAGATGCCGGTCAGATGAAGGAAATTAGTGTGCAAACACCTACAATGGGTGCTAGTCGACAAGTGGAGACGACGCCACGACCTGCTATGACCAGCTTCCGTAGCACAATGCCCGCACCGCCGCCGCCTGCACAGAGTCGGAATTATGCAATGTCGAGTGAAGCGTTGAATGTACGAAACTCCAGCTACGATGCTGATTTGGTAAGCAATCGTTTTCAGAGCAGAGAAAATGCAAAATTTCTTACGCCAGCAGCAGCAACTACAACAACAGGGATGAGCGCAAATGCTACAGCGAGCAATAACACTACCGCCGCGGAAGCGGAATTGCGTCAGCAAGCGCAAAATCTTCTATACTCCTCATCGTTTGCCATTAAACGGCCCTCACTTTATGGCAGCGGTCGCTCTTCGCTCGGCAGTTCACAATCACTCTATGACATTTATGAGAGCAACACACATTTCCGCAACGAGCCACACACCAGCACCGCTGCGGATATGCGCTTATCGACGCATAAAGCTAGCGCGCTCCTGGACAGCATTGATCCCTCTTTGCGCGCCTCCATTAAATTGGGCAGTGTGCAGGAGGTGAATAGTGTGGTGGATAGTGAGGTGAAATATACGATACCACGCGTTGGAACAATTGAACGGAAATCGAAATCGAAGAAAAGTGTAAACAGTTCTTTGGAGGAGGACTCAGTGGCTTAGTGTTGGCGGCAAATTTGAGAGGAAAGCAAGAAAAGGAATTCGAAAGGCAAACAAATTAAATGTATTAAAGCGACGGCCTGTGCAATGAGGAAAAAAAAATAATGCAAATGAAAATCATATTTGTACACATACATACATATGTAAAATCTAACTTAAGGCCACTTAATGTGCAAATCAAATCAAAACAAAAACAAAAAGAAGGAAAAATACTACTTTGTCCATGCATTTGCATATACTCGTACATACAAACATTCATGCTTTAAATAATTGCTTAATGAAACATATGCAAGTGATGCTCTTCATTTGTTCATTTGTTGTTGGCACTAACACACTAACACTCTAACCACTTACAAACTAACATTCTTAATTTATTGCGTTTATTGCGTTTATTTATTGTTGTAATCACTCGTTTATATCGATCACTCTACGACACTCTCTTTTGTGTATTACATTCCATTGAGTTATGGTTGGCTGTGTGTGTAACTTAAAAAGCCATATTTTCTTCTACATTTTGAAAAACCAATAAAAGTCATTCGGAAAAAAAAAACATTCCTATGCGAGATTGATCTACTTAGAGTGTAAAAATTCTTAAAAATTAATTTTTTTTTACTGGAGAATACATGCATTGTCTCAACGCCTAAAGCTATGCAACAAAAACCGCGGGGTTTCGATCGTCCCCTTGGTTTTCTGATCTATGTGTAGGAGTCTTAAAAAGTGTTTAGAATAGATTTATTTACAGTAATTATAAAACTTTACACTTTGAACGCCTGAAAGTATGCAACACTTAGATGTTATAATCTCAAGCCCTCCAAAATTATGCAATCAGCTTTGGGTCCTGTGTAAGCAGCGCTCAGAAGCATTAGTATTTTCATTTTTAACAGTAATAAAGTATTATACACATTAAATGTTTTAAAAGCAGCTACAATGAAGTGTTAAAATCTTAAACCCTCCAAAGTTATGCAACCAAAGACGTTATTCAGCATTAAGTCATGTGTAAGCAGGGCATTTCGTAACAATAATGAAGCATTTTGCACTTCAAATGCCTGAAAGTATGCAACGCTTAAGTGTTATAAGTTTGAAATGCCGCAAGTTATGCAACAAAAACTGTCTGTTTCGTAAAAAGCACTTAGAAACATTTGAAATGGCGTTTATAACAATAATGAGCTCTTGTGCACATTAAACGCCCAAAGGTATGCAACGTTTAAGTGTTGAAAGCTCAAGGAACCTAACATACGTGTATTACAGCCAGAGTAGTTATTCTACCCTGATTCCTTGTGTCACATGTAAGAAGCTTATTTCAATTAACGCTTTATAAATATTAAAGTATACAATGCACATACAAATTTGAAGTAAATTCAACGTAAAATCTCTTTTGCATATTTTCAACTAGAACTCAGCTGCATTAATAAATTAAATTAAACACGCCCAAAAGTATGCATCATGTGTATTTTGATCAGTTTTTAAAAGCCTTATGGCTTTGTTTTTCGTCTTCGCCGAAAAGCTCCAAAGACAGTGAGAAATATTTGTCTATTGAAACAGTGTTTTTAGTTTCTAACGCCTGAACGTATGCCTTAAGTAATGTAAATCATATTTCTTGCATACTTTTAGGTATAATGTAGTTTCACGTGTGTTTTTAATGAATTAGATTTCGCATGGTAATAAGCGCTAGAACATTATTTCACTAATTCATTCGCGGTAGAGAATATTATAGTGTTTTTGGACACAAAATGCTTAGAAAAAGTGGTTGTAAGAATAGTTGAAATATTCTTCCGATTTATATTGCTGCAGTGTAGTCTTTTTCTAATGAAAAAAATTAAAAAAAAATAGTATAAAAAATATAATAAAAAAAATATAATAAAAAAAATATAATAAAAAAAAATATAATAAAAAAAAATATAATAAAAAAAATATAATAAAAAAATATAATAAAAAAAATAAATATTTAGAAAAGACGAAATTGAAAACATTGAGTATTTTTAGGCGCAGTCTTAACATGAATTGGTTACCGAAAACATTCTGAAAAATATATGTAGGCATGGAAGAACTTGTTTTGGTGTTTATCAAATATTTCACAGATTTTCGCTGGGATCCTGGCTTTTGTCAGTGGAGCAAAATTAATAATCCAAAAATTAATAAAATTTCAGTTTCGAATTAACCTTCAAAAATTTGTTGAGAACATACTTTCTACTTAAATAATAATTTATAAATATTTATATCGTTAACATAAATGTTGCTTAGCTTTAGGCGTTTTATTAAATATCGCAGGTTTTCACTGTCTGACTCTTGCGGGCTCAGTGCGTGCTAGAAGTGGCATATTTTTGGGCGCAATTACTTTTCACTATCAAACTGTATTGATTCGGTTTGCAGAACCTATTCGAAAATTTTTCGTTGCCATTAAAATTTTATAAAAAAAAATTTTTTTGTTATTAAGTTCGAAAATTTAAATGAAAATAAATTAAAAGATTATTTGCTTTGCCATATGAGAAAACCTCTTCCATTTATTTTTTGAAAATAAATATATTCATTTATACATACAAGTATATTGTATAAAGAAAATTATAAAATTCAAAAATTATCTTATTTACTTTACCGTATTTGTGATTAGTTGCCGCGTCCTCCTATACTTTTCCTTATGTGAAATCTTTTTGTGGATAAATTTAATTCACATATAAAGTGATTGCTAAATATATTTGACATTAAATACAATTCGTTGCCATAAAAAATCTTGCCAAAGTTTTTTGCTGCCTACATTGCGGCGCTGCACTTTAATTTATAAAAAAAAAAATGAAAACACACAACTTATCATTAATATATGTAGTAGTTATAAAAAAATTTTTGGATGCACATTTTGAAATGAAAAAAAAAAAATTGAAGAAAAAAAAAATTAAAATATAGAAAAAAAAAATTAATATATTGAAAAAAAAAATATGAAGACAAAAATATTTTGAAAAAATGCTGCCAACGGCGAAAAAAAGAACGAAAATTAGTTACAAATATTAAATTGAAGGGAAAAAAATTAATATATTTTCATACTAACACAAATACACACACATAAAAGAAAAGAGCACGCGTTTATTACATTACAAAAATATAAAAAAAATGCCAAATATTTTATTAAAATCTATAAAGTAGTTGATAGCACATATATATATATAAATTAAAATATTAAAATTGCAAGCAATAACGAAGATGAGTAAAATAGTAATAAATTTAAAAAAAAAAATATAATAAAAAAAGTAGTTTTGGTGGGTTAACTGTGGTGGCTAAAGAAAAGGTGTGCGCTTATTTTAACATTTATTATCATAAAAATATTAATTTTTTTTATATTTACTAAGAAAAAAGCAGAAAGATTAACCAGTGAGCAGTAAATAACCAAAAAAAAGTGGCTTAGCTTTATGTCTTAACAAAAACTCATTTTGCTTAAAATAATTGAGTATTGTACTAATGCATACATTTGTTTGTGCGTTACTAACTGTAAATATATAAATTACATAATTGTACTAAAACAACATTTTTCTAGCAGAATTTTCCTTATGATTTTCCTTTTTACATTTTTTCTCACCTTTTCTCTCCCTAATCTCTCTACCACTCTCGCTCCTCTCTATCCTCAACTCAATTAAACTCTCAAATGTGTAAATAATGAAAAAAGAAATCATTCAAATTCGTTCATCTGTTTCGTTTTTGTTGTTTTTATTGTGGTACATTTGTCTTCTTTATATCATTCGATTTGAATTTCATTTAAATTAGCGGCTGGAGGAGACATTCGCACAGCAATTGGAGGAGATGGAATCATTGTATGGTGGCGCATTAGTAGTCTCCATGCCGTCGGACACTTTACAGCGTGATCATTTTACCGGCTCTACGCGCAGTAGTTTATCGTCCTATTCGGAGGGTTGAAGGGCGAACACACACACACACACACATATATATATATATAGACATGCACGCATTGTTCTTTAAGAGAAAGAAAAATAATAATGAAAAAAAATTTATATAAAAAATTAATTAAAGAAAATAATATAAAATTTATAGGCGCGTTTAAAAATTGCAAAAAAAATTAATTAATTAATTGCAAAAAAAGTAAATAAATAAATGGCAAAAAACAGAAAAGATAATAATTAAAAGAAATTATTATAATTAAAGTAAAAAGTTAAAAATATAAAAATTTAAGTAAAATCAAGTAAAAATTTAATAACAATACACAAACAAAAAATTAGGAAAAAAGAAAACAATTAAAGTAATAAGCAAAAAAAAAAAAAATAAAAGCAAAAATAATACAAAACACATGCGAAATGAAAAAAAAAATAAATTTGCATGAGCAGTTTAAAGAATAGAAATGCAAGTTAGTCTGTCCAACAGAGTGGCTAAGTAATTTTAAATATACACCTACATATACATACATGCATATATAAATGATGCGTATTTTTTTAGTTGAAAAAAAATTTACTTCTAAACGTAGTTCTATTTAATTATTATTATTATTATATCATATTATTTTTATTATTATTATTAATATTGTACTGTATTGTGTGCGCCAAGCAGACAAGCCTTATTGTCTACCGCGTCGTTATAAAAAAAAATATACATACATATTACCTACATACAAGAGAGCCTACCTTATTACTTTACCTACCAATCAACCCACTTAAAACATACATATATACACACCTACCTACCTACCTTCCTACCTACCAATACATCCCTTTTTACTGCATACATATACATACATACATACATACTTATTATATCCACTACTACTACTATTACATATTATACAACTTTACTTCCATTAATATTGTAAATACATATATAAGTCCTGAGTAAAAAAAAAAAAATAAATAAAATAAAATATAAAAATAAATGATCCATATTGTAACAGATCGTTAGAAATGCGTTTTTTTTTCTCAAACTAAAATAGGGAAAAGTAAACATAAAAAAAGGTTTTCATAACCTTAAAAAGGGTTTAACAAAACTTTGTATATTTTATTCGATAACCTCAAAAATTATAGAGCGTGTTCATACAGCTTGCTTTAGGAGGTCTAAGTGTCTTTTTCTCTATTGTCCCAACCAATCTAGTCTGCAATCCAGCTTTTTATTAAGTTTTTTAAAAACGTCAGACCATTGTTATGGTTTCTCAGAACTGCTAAATATTTTAAATCCCTCGGCTAGAGGCAAACGTGCGCTTTACTGGAGAAGTTCACTTTTCATTCAGCATTCGAGCTTTTGCTCCATAAAACGTAGAGCTTACCCTTTATAAGGAAGATATTTAGACTCTTATACAATGGAGTTTAAGATTGGCTTCGAAAGCAACTCATACAACGCAATAGCCTTAAAAGGAAGACAGTGTCAAAATTGGTTTCGCAAATTCCTTTCTGGAGATTTTTCACTTAAAGATGAGCCACGTTCAGGTCGGCCAAATGAAGTTGATGATGACCAAATCAAAGCATTAATCGAATTGGATCGTCATGTAACTGAGCGTGAGATAGGAGAGAAGTTAAATATACCAAAATCAACCGTTCATTATCACATAAAAAGTCTTGGACTGGTGAAAAAGCTTGATATTTGGGTACCACATGTATTGAAAGAAATTCATTTAACACACCGAATCAACGCTTGTGATATGCACCTTAAACGCAATGAATTCGATCCGTTTTTAAAACGAATCATAACTGGAGATGAAAAATGGATTGTTTACAACAACGTTAGTCGAAAACGATCATGGTCCAAGCATGGTGAACCAGCTCAAACCACTTCAAAGGCTGATATCCACCAAAAGAAGGTTATGCTGTCTGTTTGGTGGGATTGGAAGGGTGTCGTATATTTTGAGCTGCTTCCAAGGAACCAAACGATTAATTCGGATGTTTACTGTCAACAATTGGACAAATTGAATACAGCCATCAAGGAGAAGCGACCAGAATTGGTCAATCGTAAAGGTGTCATATTCCACCAGGACAACGCTAGACCGCACACATCTTTGGTCACTCGCCAAAAACTGAGTGAGCTTGGCTGGGAACTTTTGATGCATCCACCATATAGCCCTGACCTTGCACCATCAGACTACCATTTATTTCGATCTTTGCAGAACTCCTTAAATGGTAAAACTTTCGGCAATGATGAGGCTATAAAATCGCACTTGGTTCAGTTTTTTGCAGATAAAGGCCAGAAGTTCTATGAGCGTGGAATACTAAATTTGCCAAGAAAATGGCAAAAGGTTATCGAACAAAATGATAATTATATATTTGATTAAAGTTCATTCTAAGTTTTATTAAACATGCATTTACTTTCTTTTTAAAAAATCCGCAATTACTTTTTGGGCAACCCAATAAATATTTTTCAAACATCTTAAAGAGCTTCAGCATGAATTGGGAGTTGAGATATTTTCGAAGGTGCTAGTTATGAACTTCTTTCCATTAAATTTAGAGTGAAATCTTACAACGATATTGTTATCTGTAGACATGTAATTTAACTCCATTCGGATATTAATACCTATATTTCTGGCATTAGAGTAGCAGCTTAATATAACACTATCCTAGCTGCAACCAGATGGTATAAAACTTTAGATATTTTTACTTTAGTGAAGATAAACTCATAAATTTCAATTAAATATTTTTCAAAATTCCTATAAAACTTCATTATTAAATGGGAGCAGAAGATTTTCGAAACCAGTTCTGAGAGCTACTTTCCATTAATTTAAGATCGAAAACTACAAAGAAGACCATTATCTCTAGGCTACTTTTCCTTACAATTAAATGGTTCATTGTTCTCTGTTTAACGCATTCAAAGAGAGCTAATTCTCACTCTCAAAAGGAACTTTCCTAAGGGAGTAAAAGTGC